CATAAAGAGTAAGGATATTCTTCATTTCTTTTTAATTTGAAATAAATTGACAGAGAAGTTTGATTCTTCATATTTATACTATAGATAGGTTACAATCAGTGAAAACCACTCTAATAATTAGCCAGTTATTATTTGCTTATGTATTGCAAAGACCTTCAATTTGAAAATTGAAGAAAAAAATATCCCAGGTACAAAAGAATTTGATGATTTCAATTACTGAAAATATTTGAGAAGCAAACTTTATGCTTAGTTAATAAGAATATCAAAAAAGTTCAAGAAAAAGTATGACAAGGAATTTACATGAAATTAAAACAAAAAAAAGTCTCCAACAGAGCTCTAAGCTAAAAACTCTCCAATAGAGCTAAGCTAACAAAATCCTCTCCAATGATATTACAAGGACTCTTTTTCTGACAAACACGTGATTAACATCAAGATATCTTTTACCCAAAAACTACAAGTAGCAAAATTGAATTCACTTCACTGCTCTTGGCATCAGTAGAGTATCTGAAGCAGCCTAATAGCTTTATATCCTCATCGCTTTCCCCCGAGAGAATGATACCATATTCTTCATCAGTAAAATCGCCTTAGACTGGCACTTGAAAGTGAAGTTTATGAATTCAATCAACAAGTCTTAAGAAAAAATGATTTATCAACTTGACACATTTCCAATGGAATTACGGGACACCAATAAAATGTGTAAAGTAAATTACACCTCATTTTAAAGAAGCTTAAGATAGATTTATGATTTGCCTGATATTTTATAGTCCTTCAGTTTATGTTTTGACAAATTAAAAAAATAGCATTTAATTGCATTTTTTTGTTCTTTGAACAGATGTGGTAATTCTAAAAATGGCAAAATCTAAAACCTCGAATCAAATACTGTAAATCACTTTTTAATGCTAGAACTTTATTTTTGTGTAATTATGTGACATTGTCTGCTCAAGAAATTTTTGTTCTCATGTATACTTTTATTATTAAGTATAATGTGCAACAATAACCAACATCAATGAAAATTTTGTCTTGCTTATATAAATACCAAACAGATTTCTCAGAAAAATAAGGTGTCACGAAAATTTCTTTGGTGATCCAGTCAATAAGTAAATGTAAATTTCCATTAAGTAAAATCTTCAGAATCAGATCATGAGCATGAGTATACACTATTTATATAAATGATAATCATAATCAATGGCATTCATAAGGTTTTTTGCAAAAAGGGGGTAAATTCCAAGAAATTCAACTCAACACCAAAACAACTTTACATTCATTGATCATTCAACATCTTCCAGGCATATATATTTCATGAAATATTTGTTTCCCAACCACTTCCTTATGCTCTTGATTCCCATCTTTATACACCAGAAGTCATGAAATTTGTCATCTTTTCAGTTTTTGGCTTTTATCATACTTTCACTACACTTATAAACATTTGTCACATAGATAAAAATATCCCAAATAATTTACATAAATAAATTACAGACCAAATAATTTTGAAGAAATTGTAATTTTGTTGTCATAAATCCTGAAGTTTCAATATATGTGCAGTGTACTACCTACTTATGTAAATTATGATCAATGGATGAATTGCATACCTGTATGATGATGCCCTTAGTACAAATCAATAGTCCAATCCACACTTTGCAAAAGTTGTGTCCTTTTGTGGGGTCAATCAAAAGGTCAAAAGGGAAAGAAATGATGTTTCTCTTCTTTATGTTACCAAACATTTGGATGTGCTCTAATAAATCTACTGTGTTTAATTTTTTTTTCTTTTAATCTATGGGTATAGCCCCACATGTGATATATGAAAGTCCTAGCACCAACTTTCAAAAGTTATGGCCAAGGTTAAAGTTTTTCAAAAGTCGGTTAAACTCAAAGGTCAAGGTCAAAATGTCAAAAATTTTGGTATCCAAAAAAGGTCTGCACACATGGAATACACATGTGAAATGTAAAAGCTTTAGCTCCAATCATTCAAAAGTTAAGGCCAAGGTTGATGTTTAGTAAATATTTAGAAAAGTAAGTCCAATGTCAAGAGGTAAAATATGCTGGTACCCAAAGAAAGGTCTTGTCAAAACGAATTTTAATACACATGTAAAATATGAAAGCCCTAGAAACTAACCATTCAAAAGTTATGGACAAGGTTAATGTTTTTGCAAACAGATTAACAGACAGACCCATGGACAGAACAAAAACTGTATGCCCCTGAATCCTCGATTACAGGGTTATAAAAAAGACACTAATATTACATGAAGGACTGTCAGTTTTCTTCTTATAAATTGTTCTTTTTTATCTCTAATAGACTGTGTTACTCTAGAATCTTATGACAGAGAAATACTGATAGAAGTTATGTATCAATATGCTGTATTCGATCCATCTAGAGTAAGATTTATCATTCCTAACTGGACCACATCTAAATCCTGGCCCACTTAGAAAAACCCGCTCAACTGCAGATAATTTGATTCAAAGTCAATCAACACACTAAAGGTATTATCTTAACCCAATAGTTTACCAGGAAACTCACAGCCGTGCATAAATCAAACTCACATCTGCGTCATCTATTGAAAAATGGAACCTAAATTGTAATGATTATCATGAACTGCTACTGAATGGATTTTGTAGATGGAAATACTATTTAGTAATTACCCATGAAACAATTAACAATATCTGATTGAATTAGAGAAGATTTCCTTCTCTAAATAACATGAAGCATATCAGAACCTCTGTGTCTCGTGCCTCATTAGATGATCAATTGTATCCTATGAATCATAAAGGATAAAAATGGTCAATGCACCTGTATTAGACAACTTTGCTGTAATTAATGGTGGCAGTCCTCACCTGCGCATATACAAAATACCTGTCAATTAAATGGATTTACAGTTCTTCTCTTAATCATTAAAGACAACATTGATTTTTTTTCATCCAGGAGAATATAGCTTAATTAAGTCTACAAGACATAAAGGGTATATTCAGCACAGGCATTATTATATAAATGTATTAATTTTTGTGAGTTTTCTTAACAGGTTTATGAATGTTATTAATTTGATAAAGACAAAGTCCCATTTAAAAGAAGATATTCCATAACAAAATACATTATTCTTTTCATTAACATGTAATGAAAAAATATATTTTGTTGTGTATGATCTCAATAAATTGTTAGAGATTACATTAATTCACTTTACTCTCTGAAAAACTGTGAAACAATGACTGTTATTTCATTGGGAATGTAGAACTCTTTAGACTTTATGAAACATGTACTTCCTCTAGACACAGCAATTTCATAATTTGAAGGGAAAAAAATGGATTTGACTTTTATTCAATTTTGACTGTCTTATAAAAGAAACTAAACTCTTCATTTACATCATCAAGTTGGCTTTTCATTTCTAGGTTATTTCCTTTGGGTTATAGAAATGAAAAAGATTACAAATTAGGTTATACATTTTCAATTCTAACTTACATGTAGATTACAAATTTTTATACCTAACTTAAAATAAAGAAATTTCTTCCTTAGCTTAGATAGTACTGATAATCTAGAATTTTTTTTCTTTTATTTTATCCAAAATAATTTACAGAATGTATTGTGCATGAATGTTTGATAAATAAGTGATTTAAAGAATCATTGTATATTGGAAAATCTATTTGTAAATTATCTTATGAAATAAAGGTTTAATTCTTTGAGGGTATCTGTCTCTTCTGTGTTGGGAAACACTTCAGTTTGGTGATAATCATAGATTTATACTAATTCGTATATACTTAATGAACATAAGATATTAATAAACCCTTTTGATTTTAATTTTCTTTCTATTTTAATATTTACCTATAAATTTGAAATTTTTCAGCTATGAATCAGTCTTCAATGATTTACTCATGATATAACTATTTACATAAGTGTTAAGCAGTTCAGTGATATAAAACCTGACAATGTGTTCAAGATTTAAAACTGGAGATGATAAAACTTTACAACTGTAAAATGGTAAATATTCATTCAGATACCTTTTTTTACTTTAATTAATAATGAGTTTATAGTTATTTCAAGACTTATTTACAAAGATCTGAAGAAAAAAACTACAACACTCAGTTCTTATAAACATTACGTGTATTTTAAATTCCAGTCACTGTGTTAGTGATGTAGAAAGGCTGCAAAAACTATAAAATTACATAAGAATTATTCCAATATTTCACAGCCCTGTTTTAAAATAGGTCTTTGATCTTAGATTTATTACCTCCTAATAAACTTTCTTTGCAAGGCAGCATCTGTTTCCTTGTCAATGTTTACAAGTAGTTATAGAAAGTGACATTAATGTACTTATTTTATATTTTTGACCTAATTTTAAGGAATATGAAATGCAGATAAACCCTTATCAAAGGTTAAAAAAATCTTCACTTAACAAGCCCACCTACAATAATTTTGAAACCCACAATGAGTCATTGAAAGTAAATGTTTTTCAAAATGTTAATGGTACAAAGGAGAACTATTGCATGCAACCAAACTTCTGTTCTGTAATCTAGGTTTTAAGGTCATGATTTCATCATGCAGTGCCTCTTATAACTGGACTGAGCTACAAAGAGGCATCCCTTGTAATTTATCCCCTTACTTCTGGTGATGTGTAATGATCATTCTGTCTTACAATTAAAGAAATCAACCCTCTGCTCTGGAAAGACTTAGTATTTGCATTTGCAACACGCAAGGAGAATAATGTGATGGCCAGACCAGGATTCAAATACAGGTCCACTGAATCACTAGTCAGGTGCTCTAATAACTGAGCTATCTGGCCACCAGCGATTAAACCCATCTGACCGCCACATTCCTCCCTCCTTTAAATGTCTTCCCCCAAAAGTTCTTCCTTGGCACAGTCTTTCACCTGTCACTTCCAGGGCATGGAACCAGGGAGGAGAAATCTGAGACATCACTTGTCAGGTGCTCCACCAACTGAGCTATCTGGCCACTGGTCATAGAACCAGCCAGACCACCACATAATGTTTTAAGTTTTGATAAAAAGACCCCTTACCTTTTGTTAGGCGTGGAGGGGGTCTGTACTTGTAGCCTGATTGACTCCAAAACACGGGGATGGATCCACGAATTTGGAGGAATGATACAACATGGTGTGAAAACCTTATAATCTGTAAAAAAAGAAAAGAAAAAAAGGCTAAAAATATTGAAAGATTGTGGTTATAAGCCTAAACATACACATTTCATTTCACTGAATATTAAAAACAATCTGCATTAAGTGGTTGCTGTGAAACTCACTTTATTGTAAAATAAAAGGAAAATAATTAAAATAAAGTACATGTACCTGTATTACACCTTTTTTTGATATCAATGAGAAATGAGCCATTGGTCAAATTTAACATAGAATAACTTAGTCATGTTGATATCTGAAGCTACCAAGTTTTCCCTTCCATAAAAAAAATACTGCTTTAGAAAACAACAGTATTATAACATCATTGGTCAAATTAAACATGGAATAACTTAGTCATTAAGTCAAATGCTGACTCAAGTTTTTCATATTAATTGTTAGCCATTATATACAAACTGAATTGTCTACCAATTTTTCCGTTTTTCCCGATCATGGCAAGGAGTACATGGTGAGTGTGACCGGTCGGCAGGGGATGCCCACTCCTTTATGGCACCTTATCCCACCTCTGATGTTTTTGGAGGTCCGTGTTTGCTCTGCTCCCGATTTGTACGGTTTAAATGGACTGAGCTTGAATACTGTTCGTTATCTTCATATTTCATTAGTCATATTGACATCTGAAGCTACCAAGTTTTCCCTTCCAGAAAAAAAATACTGCTTTAGAAAACAACAGTATTACATAACCATTGGTTATATTAAACATAAAATAACTTAGTCATATTGACATCTGAAACTACCACATTTTCCCTTCTGAAAATAAATACTGCTTTAGAAAACAACAGTATTATAATATATATTTCAGAAGGCAGCTAAATTATCTGATGATAATTAATTATGGTGTATTAATCCTTGGGTGTTAGCAAAGTCATCCATTTTGACTGAAAATTATTCAAGTTACCCTACATGTAATATGATAAGGGCTTCAGATTTTCGATTTTCACCTCAGCTTTCTAGTTTATTATACAATAAAAATGTGGTAATAAGTCCAGCTGTGACACTAAAAAGGCTGAGAACTAATTATTTTACCAAATTATTCATCCAAAAACATATTGTAATAAGATTTTTTTAATAATAATTCAACTAAAATGGATTTTTCTTTTCCATTCGTTTACGTCAAAGTGTTATTTTAGGGAAAATACACTTATACATGTACATCATTTTAATTGGAACAATGATTTTTATCATTTCAAAGTCTCCAAGGACTATATACAAGCAATGGCCTTTATAACTGGCTTCTTGTCTAACAAAGTCATGTACATTTACTGGTGTTTGAAATTAACATTTATGATTTCTGGGAAAAATATGAATGCATTACATTTAAAAAGAGAAGGGGGGGGGGGGCATATGTATATATTTTTAAATTGAATAAAAAATATATTTAAATTGAATAAAATATATTATTTAACTTGAATAAAATATATTATTTAGATTAAATAAAACAAGCACTCAATCAGTAGTTTTTTGTTTTTGTTTTGTTCTGGGTTTTTTTTTTTTGTTTTTTGGTTTTTTTTTTTTTTGAATAAATAAAATTAAATGCTTCACACTTAAAATGTCTTGTAAATAACTAACAAACAGATCAATGTAAAATAGTAAAACAAAAACATATTGATTTATTCCATATGATACTCAGATTCCTAAATGTTAACAATCCTTAATTGAACAATCCATACATATTAATCTTTTACATGGTGTCTTAGGTGATACCTACATTTAAGGATAAGCTAGAACTTTGTCATATTATATACATCACTGCAATTTAAATCCCATATAGAAACCAGTGTATTGCCTACAGCTTTACCAATCCTTGCAAATACAGAATGAAAAACAATCTATAGTTATGAAACATTTATTTTAGCCTGTCTTTTCGAATAATTTGACAACAAAATATTCAAGTGACAAAAAAATTGGATATTGGATACTTCTGGTATTTTCTGACAATTTTGTTCAGTGAAGATTAATTTGCTGTACCAACAGGTGCTTTATAGTATACAAAGGACGATAGCAATCTCACACTGAGCTCAAAGTCAGATACTCAGCTATCAACAACACAAAAGTTACAGTTATACACCTGTGTGTTGTTTATTGATAAACAATGGTCAAGTTTTATTGTATTTTATTAATGCTCTAAACATCAACTGCAATAAAAACAAATGAAATTAATTTTTGATTACTAAAAAGGTAGGTCAAAGGATAATCATTTTTGAAGATTTGATTTAAATTCTTCACCATTGCTTGACTATATTTGCTTAAATTTCATTTTTATTTTCATCTTTTAATAGAAGAATGAAATATATGAAGAAAACGAACAGTATTCAAACTTAGAAGTCCATTCAAACAATACAAATTGGGAGCAGAGAAGACACAGACCTCTAAAACATCAGAGGTGGGATCAGGTGCCATGGAGGAGTGAGCATCCCCTACTGACCAGTCACACTCACCATGTACTCCTTGTCATGATTGGGAAATAACAGAAAAATCCGTCGACAATTCAGTATGTAAATAATGGTCTAACAACTAGTATTTTAATGAAAGACTGTACTTGCTGACAAGGTCATTGTATCAACCATAGAACTTACGAATTGATGACTTTAAACAAGGCTGTTGACATTCTTGTTTCTTCAACTTGTTAGCCAATAAGAATCTCAACATAACAATAAAAAAAAATTGTTTAGTTGACAGAGTCCATTCTGTTTAATTGGCAGAGTGTCATTCTGAAAAGTGGGCTAAGGATCATTCTGAAAAGTGGGCAGCATGTCATTCTCATGAGAGGGCAGAGTGTCACCCTGATTAGTGGACAGCATGTCATTCTGTTGAGTAGGTGGTGTGTCATTCTGATAAGTTAACAGTGTCATTCTGATTAGTGGGCAGTGTCATTCTGATTAAGGACAAGAGTGTCATTCTGATTAGTGGGCAGGGAATCATTCTGTTGAAAGGACATTATGCTGAATAAAATTCTGTTGAGAGGACAGAGTGTCATTCAAGAATAGTGGGCAGCATGTCATTCTCATGAGAGGGCAGAGTGTCATTCTGATTTGAGGGAAGTGTGTCATTCTAAATAGTGTTTTTCTAAATATTCTCATGAGAGGGTAGAGTGTCATTCTGATTTGTTGCCAGAGTGTTATTCTGAATAGTGGGCAGCAAGTCTTTCCCATGAGAGGGCAGAGTGTCATCCTGATTAGTGTACAGTATGTCATTCTGATGATTGGGCAGTGTGACATTCTGATAAGTTAACAGAGTCACTTTGATTAGTGTACAGTGTGTCATTCTGTTAAGTGGGTGGAGTATCATTCTGTTGAGTTAACAATATCATTCTGATGATTGGGCATTGTGACACTCTGATAATTGGAAAGAGAGTCATTCTGATAAGTGGGCAAAAGGTCATTCTGTTAAGTGGGCAAAGGATTAATTCTGATTAGTGGACAGAGTGCCATTTTGTTGAGTGGGCAGTGTTATTTGTGTGCAGTGTCATTCTGATCAATGAGCAGAGTGGCATTCTGTTTAGCAGAGTGGCATTCTGTTTGGGGAAAGGGGTTGTCATTTTCCCTTACAGCAAGAGTTGGACAGCACAACTTACTCTTGCATTTTCAGAGAAGTTTACTGACAATTAATTAAAAAAAACTCCATCATGACAACAACAGCATAGACATGCTAAAACTCTATAAGTTGATAAAGATACAGGGATATTTCTTTGGTATATACATGTAACTTACAAAACAAGGGTCATGGACAATTTGGTTCACCTGAGCTACTATTCTCTTTTTATAGCATAATGAAATCTCTTCCTGTTTTACTGTGGCTATGAATTTTAAGAAACCCCAAATTGTAAAAATCCACTAAAATGTTCATGATTTCAACAATTATAATTTAAAGTACATTGAGGTTTGTTGTTGGGTTTTAAATTCTAGTCTTGTTGTTCATATGTAGAAGTCTGCATATTTCCTTTTCCCCATAAATTCATATTTATTCAAACTTTGACCCACAGGGCTATGGTGGGCCACAATTTGGGTTCAAAGTTTTACACAGGAAAAATGAAGTTTGTGCAAAACCAACAAAGCTACCAAAAACCTTAACATACTGTAGATTAATATTGTTGAAATCATGGACTTTCAGTTAATAGCTGCAAAAAAAGGGTTTCATTTACCGACATATTCATTTGTTGAGAAGAAACGTGACTCAGGTGACCTTTATGGCTCATGGGCCTCTTATTTTGAGTCCTTGTTTACAGACTCTGCTTATGTAATCTCCTTCATCATTTTTTTTTCAGAATGGTCATTATAATCAATTTAAGATTACTAGAAATTCATTTAGTATACTGAATATATCAGAAAATAAGGTAAAAATAAAAATACATATTTTTTTTACTTCTTTGAGGAAGGGTTTGAAGAAAGCAACTTGGTGCAGATGGATGTATTTTCAAAATTTACATTTATAAAATGATAAATAAAAAAATATAACAACCACTACATCTATTTACAAAATGTGCTGTTGATAGGTATTTTATAAGTATACTTGTACTAGAGGGAAATTCTATAGAAACCTGTTCTGTCTCCACATAATTGGCACATGCTCCTGTTTCATCCAACCCCCTCATCTTTGTTCTCGTACCTACAATAAATTCACATTATCTAACACTATACACCAAAACTCTTTGCTTTCTTTATCTAACTCTATACTAAAACACTTTGCTTTTGCAAAGAGCATGCAAGTGCACATTCCTCACGCTTCACAAAAAGACATAAGTGCTTAAAATATTTTGAAGTCTTTAAAAATTTTCTAAAATCTGATTCAAGTGTCTTCTGATTCTTGTCCTACTTAATGAGCTAGCCTACTTAAAGATTAATTTTATAAAATAAAGGTAACAATTGCCTTAAGAATTTCATGACTTTTTAAACATGGTTTTGAAGAAAATAATCAGAACAAACTAAAACCAATGCAATCAAAAATTTTTTTGGTAAAATTTCATTTATGTTTTCAAAAATAAGGAAAAATTGTTCAAAATAAAACATAATGACCAGCTCTATGGATGCTTCTCCTCGAGATGATTCCGAGTTGATACTCCAGAGGATCCAGGTGTTTGGAGTTTCCGTAATCCGGACTGAGATCTAGAGAGGAAGTGGAGGACTGAGTAAAATCCAACACACAGTTCTCCATCTGTACATAGCCCTGGATTACAGGGATGATCCAGTGGGTGTACAACTTCTCAACCTGTGAGAAAATAAATATGATATACAACTGTTAGTAGATATCATTGACCATTTAAAATCTAATTTCATTATATTGTTTTAATATCAGTAATAAAAAAATGCTGGATTCTCCTCTCTTTTATGGATTACTATTGACAGAGCTTTAAACATAAGACTTAGGCTGCCATTAAATCCTATTCATTGTTCTTTTTTATTTTACAAAAGTGATATTATGATACATTTTTCTAGATTTCCTCTTTAAGATATGACTTTACAGAAAATGTGAAGATTTAAACATATCTATAATGACACACCTCTGGATCCCCCTCAACATTAATTAGATCACTAAGCATGTGCCTGTTCCAGAAAAACCTTGGGTCAACCTGCTGCCAGAGAGGGAGGTGTTTGTTTGACTGGTATTCCTTTCCGTGTTGTCGCTGTAAACTGGTGGTCAGATCAAAAGTTTCACTATAGTAAAAGGAGTCAGAATCTGTGAACATCTTCAACAGCTCCTATTAAAAAAGGACAAAAATTAATTCATTAAAGTGTCCTTCAATATACATCAAATATTCTGTCAAAATTTTTCAGACTTAATACAAGTATGTCTTATAAATTATCATATTTACCATGATACTTAAAAATAGATTGTAAGTTTATTTGGATTTCACAATTCTCTGTGTAATATCTTGTAAGTATCCTACATTCAAAATGCCAAGCTTAAACTACAGTACTAAAAAGTAACTAGCAACACATGTTCCAAAGAGTAACTATAGGAAAAAAAGTCAATAAATCTATCTAAATAACAGCCTACAGATCTTTGCCTGGATTTGGACAATATTTTGTCTTACCACTTCAAATGGCATTACTACCTGGGTTAATATAGCAAGGGCAATAAGTCATAGTGGTTAATGATTAAACTTCTCAACAATTCTCTTTCATTTTAATATGATTCATTAAAGTTATCAAAAAATGGAAAGATGAAGCAGAACCTGCATGTCCTAGAATATTTTTTTTTCATGTACCAGTCTCAAAAAAATTTACTGACAGAAAAGAAAACAGTGTTTATATCTCAAACTTTTAATTTACAGCACTGTGTATGTGCAAACAAAATGCTTTTCAACAGCTAACATATTGTAGAATTACTTTTTCCCGCATGATGTCAATTTACGGCACAAATTTTCTGGGGAAATTTGTCCAAGCCTACTTTAAGTACAAATAAGGCAAAAGTGGCAATCTAAGAAATCCGCAAAATTTTCTACCCGCAGATTAAACAGAAATTGTGATTCCGTGGAATTATGACCCCATGGAGACACATATGTTTACTAGTCTGAACAATCAAAAACTATACTGGAAGTTACTGAAAGACACTTTTCACATTAAACCAACAAATGAAATTCCACCTATTCAGTTTACAGCCAACAATGGCACTGAAAGTTTTGCATTTTCAGACATAGATAAAATTGAACTATTGAACAAATATTTCACATCAATTACAGTCTTAGATGACAGTAATCAGGAGCTCCCAAATATAGTGTCTAGATGTAAGGATAATTTTCCGGATATAAAAATACAAGAACAGGAAATTATTGATATAATTTCTATTATTCTTGTTAATAAAGCAGTTGGTCCTGATTGCATCAGCCATAAAATGTTAAAATCTTGCAAAGACACTATCTCAAAACCTTTGTGTATACTATTCAACAAATCCCTAACACTAAAATCTTTTCCAGACTGCTGGAAACTAGCACATGTTCTTCCACTATTTAAGAAAGATGACCCTTCCATCACTACAAATTATAGACCAGTTTCTTTGCTGAGTTGTATAAGCAAGATTTTTGAAAGAATCATTTTTAAACATGTATACAATTTCTTGTATTCACATAATATATTTTATAAACATCAAGCAGGTTTTTTACCAGGTCATTCCACAGTATATCAACTTTTAGAAACATACCATTCCATAGTAAAAAGTATTGATGAAGGTAAATTCTGTTGTATTGTGTTTTGTGATTTATCCAAGGCATTTGATAGAGTCTGGCATAAAGGCTTAATTTACAAACTAAAAATGTATGGAATCAATGGTGCTATGCTAGATTGGTTTGATAGTTATTTAAGCAATAGAACACAACAAGTCATGTATAGAAATCACTTCTCTTCTGTAGGACATGTAAAAGCTGGAGTTCCTCAGGGCTCAGTACTTGGTCCCTTGTTTTTTTATTGTATATAAATGATGTGGCTGAAAATATGATATCTGTTTGTAGATTATATGCTGATGATAATTCCTTACAACAATGTTCAGATAATATTAATCATATTGAACAAAATCTTAACCATGATCTTAGAATACTAGATGAATGGTCAAAGAAATGGTTACTGAAATTTAACCCACAGAAAACCAAAGCTGTATTTTTTAATTCAAAAAATGTGCAGCAGTTTCCTAAATTATTTTTTGACAATTGCCAATTGGAATATGTTACAGAACACAAACATCTTGGGATACTTCTGTCATCCAACTTTGGATGGTCTGATCTTATTGATATCATTATAAAGAAAGCATACAAAAAACTGGGGCTTCTTAAAAAACTAAAATTTACTGTGTCAAAAGATATTCTATCCCAGATGTATATATCTTTTATTAGACCACAACTTGAATATGCTGTTGAAGTTTGGTCTGGATGCACAAAAACAAACATTGAGAATCTTGAAAAAGTACAATTATTTGCTGCAAGAATAGTTACTGGGCTTACAATTATTGCTTCAAGAAATTCATTATATTTGGAAACAGGTTGGGAACCATTGGAATACAGAAGAAACAGAGCAAAACTTATAACAATGTATAAAATGCACAATAATTTAGTACCTAATTATTTACAAAATTTAGTACCTGATACAAGAGGCAATATTTCAGGATACACTACCAGGAATTCCTTAAATTATTCTTTACCAAAATACAGATTAGAACTATATAATAAATCATTTATTCCTGATACTGTTAGAAAGTGGAATTCCCTTAGTCTTAAAACAAGGGAGGCGACTTCTATCAAAATTTTTAAAAACTATCTGCACAACAGTATTGTAAAACCTCAGAAATATTTTTCATATGGAAAAAGGTTTTTGAACATAATTCATACAAGATTAAGACATAATTGTATTTTAAATTCTGACTTATATCGCTGTAACCTAATAACCAGTCCTAATTGTTCTTGTGGACTACTAGAAGATGCATATCATTTGTTTTGTGCTTGTAAATATTATGTAAAAGCAAGGAATTCCTTAATGAATAAGCTATTGTCATTTAATTATTTATATGTTATAGATGTACATTTAATGCTATGGGGCGATGATTCTCTTACTATTGAACAAAATGCTGAACTTTTCAAAACTATTCAAACTTTCTTAAATGAATGTGGTCGTTTTTCAAAATAAGCTTACTTTTTTTTTTTTTTTTTTCTTCTTCTTCTTCTTACCAATTCAAATTATACTTGTACACTTTAAAGAGCTTATTCTCTTCTTCTTTCTATTACTACGATGTATATGTAGTAGACCATATGTATATATGTTTTTTATTTTGGCAATTTTACAAAATGTTGTATTAGGAGAAGACTATCTAAGTTTCTGAACTTGTGTCCGATCCTTTTGACTTTGTCAATAAAATATGTTCAATTCAATTCACATATGTTTACAGTACGTAATTCAACAGTTACTTAATTTCCTTTATTTATCACTGGCTAAATCTAAAATGAGAAATCCTTATTTTACCTCTGTTATTCTCCTCACAAACTTTTCTTTATCTTTGATATCTTTCTGAAATAAGAAAGCATTTTATCTGATTTAAATCTAATAAAGTCCTTGTAACATGTAAATCTTAACAAACTGACCAAATAAATTACAATATTTTCCCTTTTCCCTGGTAAATTACAGAAGTAAAATATGAAAAAGTGAACATATCACAACTTTAACTCTGCTCTATTTAAGGTCAGATGACACATTCCTCAATAATATATAATTTTTCCCAAGAATTTGTCATTGAAGTACTGCTACTTTAACAACTTTCTACACAAACAATTGAGGTACGTTACCAAGCATTTGTGCAAGATACAAGGTGGTGTTTCCTATATAATCCTATTTGAAATCACTTGATTTGTCAAAATCTTTTATTTTTGTATTTATTTTCTAAGATATTCTAAAAACAGTTTAGAAATCACAAGATAATGTTAATATTATGAATATTTCTTATATATTACATGGAAAAACAAAACAGAAATTCGAGGAACGTGTTGTCAGACCTTAACTTAAAAATATGTAGAATGCCAGAATTATTTCCCTTATATTGCTAACTGAGTAGAATTTTTTAATAATCTACCTAATACTTTTTTCTAATGTACTAATGCAACTTTTCCTTTAATCTTGATGCATCCTAATAGATTTTTTTAAAACACTAACAGTTAACTTCAAACTTGATATATCTTTTTTGTTTTTCAAACACTGGCTATGTGACAGCATGTAACTCTATGAGACTCGCCTTCTTCTGTTCGACATTGTCTATTCCAAATTTAATAGACTTCCAGGTATTCTACATCTGTTTCTCTTTCTCTCTCTCTCCCTCTCTCTTTGGTCCCACCCTCTAGGGTTTGACATTGTCTATTCCAGATTTTATAGCATTGTGTATTGGTTTTTGTAATCCATTTCCTCTCTCTCTCCCTCTCCCTCTGTACACACCTTCTTGGGTTTGACATTGTCTATTCCAGATTTTATAGCATTGTGTACAAATGTATGCATGGTTTTTGTAATTCATCTTTCTCTCTCTCTCTCTCTCTCTCTCTGTCCCTCTCTCTCTGGACCCACCTTCTTGGGTTTGACATTGTCTATTCCAGATTTTATAGCATTTTGTATTGGTTTCTCTCTCTCTCTCTCTCTCTCTCTCTCTCTCTCTCTCACTGGACACACCTTCTTGGGTTTGGCATTGTCTATTCCAGATTTTATAGCATTGTGTATTGGTTTCTCTCTCTCTCTCTCTCTCTCTCTCTCTCTCTCTGGACCCACCTTCTTGGGTTTGACATTGTCTATTCCAGATTTTATTCCATTGTCTATTGGGTTTCTCTCTCTCTCTCTCTCTCTCTCTCTCTCTCTCTCTTTGACCCACCTTTTTAGGTTTGACATTGTCTATTCCAGATTTTATAGCATTGTGTATTGGTTCTCTCTCTCTCTCTCTCTCTCTCTCTCTCTCTCTCTCTCTCTCTCTCTCTCTGGACCCACCTTCTTAGGTTTGACATTGTCTATTCCAGATTTTATAGATTTCCAGGCATTCTGAATCTGTTTCTGCTGTGCTGATGGCTGAGATATTGTTTTTGGTTTTCTTATTCCAAAATGATGCACACTGCAAAGCTACACATAAAAATAGATTACATATGCACTATAGTGTTGCATTAAATGCAAGCATGTCTATTACTGATAAAAATTTGGAATTTTCCTGATATAAAGCACTAATAAAACTGGAAATTCTTTATCATTCTTCATATTTTTAGCCTATCAGTACATATATACTGGAATCATTATATTTCATGATTGATTGAATTTTAATCACACCCCCCCCCCCCCCCAAAAAAAATTACATTCACATGAACCCTTTAATTTCTTTAAATCCCTGAAAATCGTCAACCTGAAGTACAATGACTCCACAGTACCTGAACATGTATAAAATTTCCTTTTTTCTATTATTCTTCACATTCTGATATGCATAATGAAATGTTCATACTGGATTCTTTCATACTGTTTCTCTATTAAAACAATAATAAATAAAAATAATTCACAGACTAACATCTAAATCCAGCTCTTGGGGCTCTGCATCTGAGAGTGGAACAATGGCAATTTTATTCACTTTGTAGATCTCTTGATCTTCCAGCACACTCCCAACAGATGATCGCTGCTTTATTAAAATTAATCTCCAGTCATCCTCTGGAAAATCAAAGTAATAATATTGTTGTATAATTCTATATAATTTGTACAATTATTCTTACCAAGGGTAAGATGGCCTCAAACCAGAAAACACTGGACAGGACGGAGATACGTCTGCACTCTTCAGTGTCGGATAAAGGAAAGGCACCAAAAATAGGTGATCTGTAATCACATAGACCACAGACCAACCCCGAACCCGATATAAATAAACGTAGTTATACTACAATATTAAAGATAACTGTCTTTATGAGATAATATATACCCAGTATATAAAAAACATGTATTTCATTAAATAACAAAAAATTTACATATACATCTTTAATTGTATAGCATTAGTCAAATCAATAAAACTACCATATCTGGCCGAATATAACACGAATTGGTGTAAATACGCACCCTCCTTTTTGGGCCTAAAAATTTGGGAAAAAAATGCAGTTCAGTTGTATTATATGCAGTTCAAAATTGACCAAGTGGTAAACTAGTATTTTTTATATCGCGTTAATTTTTACTTAAAATCTTCGTGGAAATAATGTATGGAAAATTTAAGCAAGATAATTTTTCATATGCAGATTTTGTTTTTTGAGCTTACGGTAGTCCAGATTTTATGCATGGTTGTATTCTTCGTAGAAAAATTTAATTGCATGTTTTATTGTATGTTATTTTGTTGTTTGTATCTATATTTATTATGTGCTTATTTTTGATTGTATATATGTAACTTTGTCTTCACATAATCCTCTACTGAGGGAAATAAAGTATGAATGAATGAATGAATTCAAATTGAATATAATCTCTGGTGCAAATTTGGTGCATGTTTCTTATAAAACTATAATTTTCAATCAAGCTTTATATATATGTCTGGAAGAAAGCAGGATCACTGGCTTATCTCAATGCATCTGGTATCCTACTTACAAGTGTTAAAAACTTGAAAATGAACTAAACTCTTAAGAATAAAAAAGCAAAAAACTATTTTTTTTTTTTATAAAATATTGTAAAGATTTTGTTTTTTCTTAGGAATGTACTCATTTGCGATGAACACCAGCATAAGTTCATTTAATCATTTAAGGGTACCTGGATGATTGATCATTTAAGGTTACCTGGATGATTGGTCATTTAAGGTTACCTGGATGATTGGTCATTTAAGGTTACCTGGATGATCGATCATTTAAGGTTACCTGGATGGATGATTGATCATTTAAGGTTACCTGGATGAATTTTTATCTTTCCAATTACTCCATAAACAAGTCCTATGCAGACCGGATTCCATGCCAGACAAATATCATCACCTACAATACAGATATTCTTTTAACTTGTGGATATTTTTCTGAATTTCACTCAGTTGGAATGAAATAAACTTTTTCAAATTACAATGAAAAGCAAGTTGTCTGACACTCTAGACTAATAAAATATGCCACTATAGTAGACTGCTAGGTTAGCGGAAATCAAGAGATCCTTAGTATATGTATACATGTGCAATGCAGAACTTAAACCACAAGAATTGTTGGACAAATAGAATAGTGTACTTTCATTTGCACTTTTATTTATTAAAAGTGCAATACGAATCTGTGGGCAAAGGAATTTTCAAAGGGCTAATGGATTTAACAGTTCACGTGGATAATACTTGTCTAGTAGTTCAAAAAACATAATGATGACTGCACAATATTTTGTCAGCATTATGCAAAGGTCTAACAAAATGTTAATTCAGTAAAATAAAATTTTGTGTTGGGAATATAAACCACTTTGAATAACACTATCTCATAAACATGCAATTTATTTTTAAAAATTTAAAGAATACTTTATATTTTTTAAAATAATAAACCTCTTGGAGCAACTTATATCTCTGACTAGAGGATAACAGAAATTGGCATATATTTATGACAAAGCTGTTTAATGAGTATATTGTCTGCTTTTATGAGGGAGGTCATTTATAAATCTGATAACTTGAAGCTTAATTAGCTAAATGCTTTCAAGATGTTCTTTTTAATGATCATTATTGTATGTTGGAACCTAAATTACATTTGTTTGTTACCCTTTTGCAAAAGATTCTAACAATTAAAACATCCTGGTAAGAAGGTCGTGTTTTTTTCTCAGAATCATCTCAGACAATTCCAAAAAGATGTGCAATAATCCTACCAATATTAAAACTGAAAATAATTGCATTTTACATCTGTTTATAAATTTCCCAAAACTCTTTGCAGCCTCATTGCTGTAAGGGTCTGTATTTAAGGTGAGTCTTAAAGTTTTGAATCAAAACTACATAATGTTGCACAGTTTTAAATTCTGTGTACAGAGTTATTTTTGCCTTTATGCTAGCAAATGATTTTGCCCCATTTAAATTTTTTCCACATTGACATGTTGACACATGATTGTGTTATAAGAGAGATAACAATGTCTTATCTGAATTTGCTCCATTTTGAATTCACCTGCTGATGAAGAGGGTAGATAGGACAAAAAGAATAATAAAAACGGGGCAAAAATTTCCATGTGTACAGTAGTACTGTCTGTTTTGATTTCATTTTATTCCATTTATTAATTTAATTGAGTTTAATTTAGATAATTTATTTTATTTAATGAAATGTTCTGCCTAAACATTTCCCAATAATGAACATATGTTGATAATTTCCCTGGAAAGGTCCAGGCTCCTTGTTATCAAGAGGTTAAAAATTCTTTTGTAATCAAATATTACACTAAAGTAATATATTTATTACAAAGCAATTTTACTAAGCAATTGAGTTTTTATGTACCATGCAATTAATGTCATAAGCAATGGAAGTGAATAACGCTGTGTGAAGTGTTACAATTTTAGAGAGATTAGCATAGTAAAATAGAAACGTTGAGCTGATAACAGAATTAAAGTGTAATTATGATACATATACTGTACAGTATATCAGCTGAGATATGCTAGTACAGTAATACTGATACCCACTGGTCATGTAATTTCCAGATTTATATGCACTGTGATCTGACCATCTCTTACAACCTATTTTAACATATTTAAAAAGTTAGGACTTGCGTTTTAAATATGAAACCATGGTTCAAAAATGACATCCTTGCATTGAATGAATGTTTTAGAAAATAAGAAAACAACTTGATCAAAAGAGAACGATCATCAGTTCCTTCATCAGATTTTCTAAGTTGCAAATTCCATAAAAAGTGGAGTTATTTTAACAAAACCTTTTTTAGCTTCAAGCGTGCCAGAATGACGACTGCACCACAATGAAAACTCTCCATCATGCAAAATATAATGATCGTCCGACTGAAACAACTGCATTCTTCAAATCTTCGTCATTTGAGATTCAAAAGTTATTTTGTACAAGTGTAATCTAGATATATGAACACGATGTTGTTAATTATAGCACGTAAAATCCATATAATCAGTAGGTATGGATTAATTTTGACTGTCCATCTGTCAAAATTTATTTACAGGAAGTGAGGACTGTTATCTATCTTCTTTCACACAAGAGTTCCAGAATTTAAAAGCAGAAGAGTACAGTAATATCGTCATGGACCTTGGAGGAATTCGCATACATGTAGGTTTTAATAATTCAACAACTTTTCATTAAATGTTTCTTTTTTTAATATATAAAAGCTTTAGTGTTGTTATTATAATAATAAGTTTGAATTTTTATCATTTTCAAAAGAAAACATTCCTTCATGTTTTTGAAAGTCTACATCCCTTTCCACTATGTCCACGGGCACTGGAAGTTAACAGGTTAACATTGGTTAAATATAAATGTAAATACATATTGAGAATGTGCTTGTATATAAAACACTTTTTTTTTACACATGCACATAGGCCTACTCAATATTTACATTAACTTCCAGTACCAGTGGCACAAGGGGCCTCAAGGCATCGTGGGAAGGTGATTCAAGTCTGTTTTATTTTTGTTTCAGTTAGATACTAAGACAGGTTCATTGCTGGACAGATTGCCATGATTGTTAAAGGCCGAGATTTTTAAGTGTATGGTTTTCTCAGTTAAAAGGGGGAGGGGGGCTTAGTTGTGTACGAGCGATACCCTTTGGCAATGATGGTCCTGCAGAGAGTTCATGGCCATAGGAACCAGAGGGGCTGTGCCTCCCCCCCCCCCCTCACCACCACCACCATCCCCCTCAATAATTTTTGCCAATATATTGATTACAATAGAAAAATTTTTTTCAGAGGATAGAAATGTATGTTATAAATAGGCAAATTGGGTTAAAATATTCAATGTAATATCACTTATTTACTCGCCCACAGAAAATAGGCAAAAATATTTTTCATGACGCCACCAAATTTAGGACAATAGTCACAATACATGTATATATGAATATAAATACACTGGATTCAGACAATACTCAGACCAGTAAGGTCAGGTATCGGGTAAAGCATGTATCTTAAGATTAAGGTATTACTGGTTTGATTTTCTTCACCTTAGCCTATCTATTTTAGACTAAGTGTTTAAATACATGTTTCTATGTACATGATGTAGGTATCTCGTAGAAGACCATTACATGAACGAGGGACACATGGGCATCACAGACACCGTCAAAGAAGGAGGGATCAAGATTTACGAAGCAGAAGTAGACACAGGGAAACCAGTCAGCCATTGGTTATCAGTGATGAGGGTTTGTACATTTATTTCTGTGAGAAATCAAATAACATTTAAATGGCAAAATGCACGGAAGTGATTAAAACTAACTCAAGTGATATGCATTTAAGGGTATTCTTCAGATGCACCCATGCACAAATAAAGTTGTTAACAGGTCATTAAGCAAGCCATGTTTTAATTTTAAAGTTGTATTTTATTTTTTTCGTGACATTTGGCAACAGATCCTGGTGTACAGAACAGTTCATGTATTGATCTGACCAGTGGGGATGAGGAATTCATTGATCTGACCAGCCCAACGGGTTCAAATGATGCCAGTGTTATAATAGTAAGTTACATAGCCAGTGTATCAGTTACATAGCTAGTGTAATAGTTACAGTGTTATATATAGCCAGTGTAATAATAGTAAGTTATTATTGGGTATTTCTATAGTAAGTTATTTCAGTAAAACATGCTTATAGCGAACACGCTTATAAAGAATTGACGCTTACAGCAAAGTGATTTTCATTCCCCATGACTTTAAAATATATTGTGAAACGAATTACACTTAGAAGGAAGTAAATCATCTCTCCCTGGCACTTCGTTATAAGCGTGTTTTACTGTATTGGGTACTTGTGTAAGAATGGTAAGTTATTATTGGGTATTTGTGTAATAATAGTAAGTCATTATTTGGATATATTTTATAAACTAAAAGGAAAATGGAGATCCTAATATATATTCTGGACATTCTAAATTTAAAAATTGTGATATTTTCAAATTTCAGATTTCTGGAAACTCAGGTAAGAAATTGTACTTATGTATGTAAATGTAATGCATAATATCTTTCTTCAAATGTGTGACATAATGCCAGGTTAAGTTTTTAAAAGAAACTGATTCTAGTTTTTCTTTTTTACCTTTCCCAGAAAACTCTTGTATCAATGATGCATGAACAGATAAGCATTGCATATCTTGCTTTTGTATTTTCCAGATATACATGTATAAATAAAACACTGTTATCATGGTTATGATGCTATTATGTCATCCATTTAAATGAATACTCATCTGCTGTGATATTTTGCCTCATTTAAAGACACTCGTTGAGATGAGGCCAAAAAAAATAATAGTCTTGTTTCCTGCTACCCGACCTACCCTATTTTTTTGCACCCGACCCTAAAGTTTTTTTTAGTTTTGGGAGAAGAAAAAATCGGGAATTTCCGGTATTTCATCATTTTGTCACCATAATTAGTTTCGGTGTTAACATAAAACAAGCATATCATGAAATTCTTGTTTTAAAATATGGATTTTCATAAAATACTCTTGAGTTGTGCATAAAAAAAGACACGAAATTTAATTTTAAAGGACAATGTTGATCTGTGACATGTTTAATTTGATCTTGTATTAGTTCATATCCAAAAAATGCCGTTAGAAAAAAATAAAATGAAAAAATAAAATAAAATAATTTTCCTACCTACCTATCCTATTTTTTTCAGGCTGGTAGCAGGAAACAAGACTATTATTTTTTTTGGCCTGAGCCATTTATTCCTTATGCCTATTTTTAACAGAGACCAGAAGACGCAGACCTAGAAGGAGACGTCATCGTGAAACCTCGGATGAATCTGAGAATGATGTGATAGAGATTTCCAACTCCTACCATCCATTACCTCTACCTTTGTCGTTTGACGATCCAGAAACAGAGTAAGTTATATATTTAATCCTTATAATGATTGCTCGCTTAATAGAGCATTGAAAACTTGACTTTGAAACACTTTTATTACTTGCTTGTTTTAAAAGTTGTAACAATCATACTCTTGAGCTTCTGGGTTTTTTTTAGGTCTTAAAATCAAGGGCCTGGGCCTTTCCATTTGTGAAACATAGCGACTTTTTTTTTTGAAATTGGGAAGAATATCATATTTAATATTTTTGTAAATAAATTCAAATAAGAGGGTTTTTTTTCATTTGCAAGGTATTTATTGACTTATTTTACATTCAGTCAATCAGTTTTTGGAGCATGCCCTGTAGATTTTTTTTTTTTGAACACCATTCCTGATAAATGTTAATGAGTTCAGCCATTTTTTAACCATGTTTGTTTGTTTTGATTCTCTTTTGGGAATTTTCTTTTATGAAATTGGGAAAAACACCTACTTTTTACCATTGGGAATGGGGCCTATTACAGGCCCCTATGACCCCTAAAAACAACCCTGAGCTTATGCAAATATTCACGACATTAGTGTACATGTATACTTTTCAAAAACTCTCTCTCTCTCTCTCTCTCTCTCTCTCTCTCTCTCTCTCTCTCTCTCTCGTATTAACATATATATATTTTTAACTAACCTTAGCTAAGAACTCAAATTAATTTCTATTATTTTTTGTCCTGTTTTGACAAGGTAAAAATAAAACAAGAATTTTCAATACTACAGACTGAAACTGAACATTCCGAAAGCTGTTCTTCCATTTGTATGTTTCATGGTACCTTGTTTGTATTTTAACATACATTTTCTTTTTAAAAATTAGGAATAAACCATCAACTAGTGCAAATGATTCTATTCTGTCACCAGTACAGGATATTAGCTGCCCTATTTGTATGGACAGTAAAAAACAGGTATTTTTACACACTTTATTATTTGCAGATTATATGGCCCTTAGGATTGATGGGGGATTTAATAGACACTACTTGATCATTTTTGACTTGAATAGGAATAAATACATTCAGCTCTAAGAATAAATGTCAACTTCTTTGTTAAAAAAAAATTTAGCTGGTGCCCAAGCTTTTTTTTTAACAGATAAGCAAATTTTCCAGCAAAAGTGACTTTTTAGCTCACCTGATCAATGGCTCAAGTGAGCTTTTGTGATAAAAATTTGTCAGTTGTCTGTTGTCATTGCTGTTGAAGTAAACTTTTAAACATTTACATCTTCTTCTCCAGGACCACTGGGCCAATTTCAACCAAACTTAGCATAAAGTATCCTTTGGTTAAGGGGATTGATTTTTTTTTCAAATGAAGGGCCATGCCTTTTTCCAAGGGGGAGATAATCAAGAAAAGGTGATTATAGGATGGGGTTATATTATCAAGAACCACTGGGGCAGAAAAGATGAATCTTATCTGCAAGCTTCCTGATATAGTGTAGATTCAAGTTTTTTTTTTCAAATTCTGGCCCCTGAGAGTGGGATGGGGCTACAACAATTAACGATTAAAGTTGTATATATGAGGTCTTGACAACAGTTGTACACAGGAGTAAATTGGAAAAAAAATCTTGAAAACTTCTCAAAAACAGCAGGTTCAGGATTTCGTTTACGGTAGATTTGGGGAAACATCATTTAATATTAGTGTCATTATATTATTTTTGACAGATCATAAAAAGTGGGAGACAGATGGCTGCTACAGTTTGTGGCCATGTTTTCTGTAAGCCATGCATTAAAGCGTCCATCGATAACCATCGCTTCTGTCCAACCTGCAGGAAAAAGCTGAGCATGAGACAGGTGCATCCTCTGTTTATATGAAGGACACTTACTGACTTGTTTATATGATAGTAATTTACTTACCTGTGTGTTTATCTGAGGGAGAATTACTGACCTGTATGTTTATCTGAGGGAGAATTACTGACCTGTATGTTTATCTGAGGGAGAATTACTGACCTGTGTGTTTACATGAGGGAGAATTACTGACCTGTGTGTTTATCAGAGGGAAAGTTACTTACCTGTGTGTTTATATGAGGGAGAATTACTGACCTGTGTGTTTATCTGAGGGAGAATTACTGACCTGTGTGTTTATCTGAGGGAGAATTACTGACCTGTATGTTTATCTGAGGGAGAATTACTGACCTGTGTGATTATCTGAGGGAGAATTACTGACCTGTATGTTTATCTGAGGGAGAATTACTTACCTGTCTGTTTAGGGCTGTAAGATAGTTCAGTTCTGTATGTGCTTTGATATGAAAAAATAAATTTCCTTTAATTCAATCTTTAGTGTTGAAATTAGTGCTGAGTACTTGTTCTAAATGTTGTTCTATGTATTGAAGCTGACAGTTTACACTGATTGCTTATGAATTGTTAAATGTGTAATGTTTATTGCTCAATGAAATGATTTATATGTCCAATTCATTAAACACTTGTATATTGGTTGTTAAAGTATATTGCTTGCTATATGTGAAAGTTGGACACATGCACTGGTTAGTAGATCAGATAATTTGCCAAAATTATACATGTATAATCGTTAGTTTTTTTCTGTGAGGTACATTGCTATGTGTGTTTCAAATAATGCTAGCTAAATTAATTTTACAGTACATATAAAAAGATATAAAATAAATTTTCCATTCATGATTTTTTTTCTTTGGTGAAGGGAAATTAAGTTTTAAAAGAAGATTTGAACTGCTCTTTCTTCAATGGGATTTGAATTGAATCATATGCATTGTATCAAAATTATTCTGATCTACAGTCAAAATTAATTCTGTAGTGAGCATTAATATAGACTTAGATTTTTCATACAGTATTGCTTTTTTTTTTTTTGGGGGGGGGGGGGGACTTTCTTAATACAATGGGATCAAGAAAGTCCAAAATGATATTTGATTACCAAAAGTTTTTTTTTTCAGTAAATGATTTTTAACAACTTTAGTATGATTTATGTAGAAAGAGAATATCAATTTACTGATTCAGTGATGATTTTTTTTTCCCAAGTAAGTTGCAACAGTTTTTTATATGAAGTCATGTTTGTACAGTGTGTTCATATTTTATACTAGTGTATTTTTTTTTTTGTTTGTTTGTTTTTGGTCCTTTAGTCAGAAACAAACAACACATGTGTCTTCTGTTCTGATGCATAAAGAAATTTAAACTATATTAAAGAGTTTCAACAAACTTATGTTATCTTTTTTGTATGTTTGTTATGATCCATGGTACCACACTTTTGAGCAAAGTACTCGGTGAAGAAAAGAATGTTTTATATTTTTTTTTCTTCTGTAGCTGGTCAGAAGTAGATTAAATCTAGTACTTTTTTTCCTATCTTAGAGGGTTCCAGAGTAGATTATAAATCTTTGTAATTTTTAAGGACTGTATTCGCTATAAATGTCCAATATTTGCCCCCAAAATCAAACTTTGAGGAAGAAATCTTTATTTATGTTCTAAACCAGGGGAATATCTGCAGATTTCCAAGCATTAAATATTTTCACCAGCCATGACACCATATGATGTCAGAAAAGTGACGTAAATTCAAAATTTCCATGATTTATAGAGAAAAAGTTGTATATCATGTTGATATTTTGAGTTTAAGTCACCGAGCGCAGGTCTGCTCCAACTCAATGTTTTGATATAATGTGTAGAACATGTAGAATGATAATATCAATGAAACATGTGAATATTATTATGGAGAAGGTTTGCACTCTATAAATTACAGGTATATAGTAAAAATTGAACAAATATTGTCCATTTTATCCTCTTGAGAAAAAATAACACAAAATCCAAATAGTTTGAGACGTCAGAGAAACAAAAACTGCTAATGATCTACTTCGAAACTATAATATTTTTTTTTATTCAAAGTTTTCATACAATATATAGTATAATACAATTCAGCAAATTTCAAGAAATGTTCAAATTAAAATTTTATGGAAGCAAAAATATGCATATAAGGCATAAAGCTCTTTGATTGTAATCTTTAATACTGAGTGAAATTAATTATTCAGTAACTAACTTGTAAAGAGTTGTTTCCTGTTTTTGTGCAGATCAGAACAAACTTATCTTGCACATTACTTAATTGTCTAGTCTATAATCAGAATTAATGGAATGAAAAATACTTTGGCTAGATTTTTTCTCTTTACCAAAATTGTTTCTTCTTCATTGGGTTTCACAAGTACACAGTGACAGATCGAGTAAACTCACCCCACCCCCGGACTGAACTTTACGTAAATGAAATCATAAAAGATGCATCAAATTAAATATAATCAATTATTGTAATTTTACGTTTGTCAATAAATAAGAAAGAACTTTTTCAATTCTCTAACCCACCCCACCCCCTTTTTAAAGACTCCCGATATATACATGTACATATATATTTAAATTAATTTTGTGGCCTCCACAGACTGGTTTTTCTCCAATACCAATCTGACTTGTTAAAAAGTGGCTATCACTAAAAATTTAATCCAAGCAAAACACAGTATTTTTTCAATTTAAAAATACAAACCAATTACCTGCATTATTTTCTGGGTAGCAAGTACGTAGGAAGCAATAACGGGGGGGGGGGGGGGGCACAACCAAACCTTTTCAGGTTTTGTTTAAGGGGGGCTACCAAGCAGAAGCTCCTTGACAAGCAAACAAAAAAGACTTTGTTACTGAGGGGGCACACGAATAAACTAGCCATGTTTCTATAGTATATCGCAAGTCCGTAGCAACGGTTTCAAAAGTGGGGGGGGCGCAACTTCCCAAAAATATTTGACAAGCAAAAAAAAAAAAAAAAAAAAAAGAAAAGAAAAAAAACAAACAAACGTTATTTATCGTCCAACCGACCGGCTTACTTCAAAAAAGTGGGGGGGGGGGCAACCAGCATATAAAGGAAAATTAACTATAGCAAAATACAAAGCAGAAAAAGTGGGGGCGCCCCCCCCCCCCCTTACGTTCTACGGGCCTGTATCGGCAAAATTATTTGAGGAACCCCAAGTGCCCCCCCCCCCGATTCCTACGGTCATGAGAAGTGTCAGATGGAATTTGTAACACAACATAAACATCGTGGGGCAATTGTTTTCTTCAAAAGGTTGGTCTGCTTACATTGATAGCATTGTCAATAAAGGCTACAGAAAACTTGGACTTCTTGAGAAACTTAAATTTTCAGTGGCTAAGAGATACTTTATCCAAAATTTACATCTTTATACGACTACATCTTGAGTATGCATCTGAAGTTTGGTCTGGCTGTTTGTTGGCAGATATTGAAAAACTTGAAAAGGTTCAACTGACCGCTACAACTACTCATTGTATGTTGAAACTGGTTCGAAACATCTTAATTGTAATAAGAAGAGACAATTATATAAGGTAAGCGCCGAACTATTTTGATGATAGATGCACCAACTTGTAATTAATGTTGCTGTAAAAATGTTAGATGCACGTCATTTGCTATGGGGAGATGAATCCTTAAGTTTGCGGGGGGGGGGGGGGGGGTGGTGTTTAAATTTAAAGTTTTATCCATGATAAGACTCGTTTCAGTTAATTCGTGTTACCTTTTATAACTCTCATTATCTTATGATATTATTATCATTCATAACTGATATTCTTTACTGATTTTATAAAAGTGTCGCGATTGTTTTTTTTCTATTAAATTTTATTTATCTAAATACTTGTAAAAGTTTCATAGCTATTCAGATAAGTAGACGACTACCTTATTTATTGGAACTTCCAATCCAATCCAAATGACATATTTTCAGTAAAAAAAAAATGTTCTAAATAAAAAACAAACAAAATCAAAATTTCTGTAAAAAAATTAAAAAAAAAAACTTTGAACTCATTTTCATTTCATGTACAAATTAAAATAAAAAAAATACAGAGTCCTGCTTACTTAGTAAATGTACAAATTTCAGAAGGACCATGAAAATTTAGAATAATTTGCTATTGATTAAACTGTTAAATGATCTTATATTTGTGTCTATGCATTGATTAATTTTCAATGTGCGAGATTCGTCTGCTTAATCCGAGTTATGCCCCTTTGCTTGATTTTCGGAAGCAACGAAAAGAATGCTGGGAATGTTACCCCCATCTATCGCCATGTTGGTTTAGGAGAAATGAACACCCCGATACGATTCGAGACTTTAAACACGGAAAACTTCAGAGCTGCTTAAAGTTAACCATTAAGAATAATTGAAGATACGAAAGAGAGAAGAAAAATTAAAATGAGCGGCCTAGAAGAGAGAAAAGCTAAGCGAAGACGACACAAGGGCAGTTCTGTTGTCAAGACCTCAAATCAGACATGTCAAAGTTTTCCTGGGTCACTAGGTTTTGATATGTCAAACCCTGCACCAAAGGAGATATTATCGCCAAGTCTTGATTCCGAGGTAGTTATTTTTCAAGTGTTGTTGTTAATGCAATTAATATGCCAGACGATGCTACCCTTTGTTTAAATTTGGGATGGTTTTTGCTAAGAAATTAACGGTTCTCATGTTAATGCCGAACTGAAAGTGTTGACTCAGGTTATACTCTTTGTATATTTTTATAAATTTGGTCATTAGAAGTCGCGAACGTATTTGACGGTGTTGGTTTTAATGAAAAAAGTTTTATAGGACAGCAAATGACTTATTAAACCAACAGCAGTGCATGCATGTTTGTGCTTGCCATATATGGCAATCGAAGTTTGACCATTCTGTCGTTACTGAACACTGTACACATACAACTTCTTACTCTATCTGATATGGAAGAAGACTACTTTGGTCAGATCCATTGGAATTATGCCTTTGTTTGATTGTTCTATTGAAAATGTACAGGCAATTGGCAAATAGCCAGGCTCTTTTCCAGTACATTGCAGTGCAAGTGTCTGTACATGTGATCCCCTTTCACTTAGTATTGCCAGTACTAATATCTTAAACAGAGTGAAAGTTTTGTGTTTAGGTCCTTGACATCCGTATTTATAATAGTTTTACACATGCATGCTTTCTATGGCAAATTGATGTTAGCAGAAATCTCCTGAGGCTTGGTAACGCATTACAGACATCAGCTAATGGATTTTTTAATTCATGTCAAACACAAAAGGGAAGGTGGGGGCTGTAAATTCATTTCTTATTTTATAAGGTTTGATTTTTAGACCGTACTAGTTAATACAATCTATCGGAAGTAGTTATCAACAAACTGTAAAAAAAAAAAAAAAAAAAAAAAAACCAAACTGTTACAAAATAAAATCTACAAAGAAAAAGATTTTTTTTTCTACCCATTGCATGGGCATGTTTGGAATAGTTCTGATAGCAAATCAGTTGGGAAGTAATCAGGGGGTGTGCAATTACAAAATTTAGTTACTAGCCCGTCGGGCTAGTGGCAGTAACAAAGTTACTAGCCGGAGATTGCCAGTCACTAGCCCATTAACTACCGAAAACAATACATGTATTTATAAGTATAACAAAAAGGTTAAAAAAAAAAACATTTAAGTTGAAATAAATAAAACAAATAATGGTTTGCGCTTTGTTATTGTCAGGTATTTCTCCCTATTTTTATCAACTATAATTATTATGTCACTGAAACGACTGGCGATAGCAACACACAAAACATATAGGTTAAAACGAATTAAAGATTATGATTTTACAACAAGGTTAATTCGTACATCAATTCAGTCGATATAAATATACGTATACTTTCGTTTTAGATTTACTAGCCCGACGGGCTAACGTAGTATAGATTTATGATAGCCCGATCTCTAAAATTGGTAGCCCCGGGCGTCGGGCAATGGTAATTGCACACCCCTGGTAATAGCATCAAAATAGAACAAATTGGGAATTTTCTATCATATCAACAAATAACATTTATTTTATGATTATTCTAATACACATTTACTATTAATATAAACATGTTTATATTGTTTAAACATGATAAACAAATATTCATTGTTTTACATAAATTGTCTCTTTTTCTACATTTTCATGCTTTCAAGTTGTCACTAGGCTGCCTTCAACACGCTTTTATAGCCATATTATGACTGATCCATACTTCTGATTTGAAATATTTAATTAATTTGTATGTTTTATATGAAAGGAATATTACAATGTCATTGCAGTCTGTTCTTCGGTAGTTGAATTGGCAACTTTAGTCTCAAATTTGGGAAAAATTAATGTTTTTGGCAGTGAGAATGGTAACATTTATTGGTAATTTTTAAAAGAATATTATATATAACATTTATTTTAGGATGAGAGTTTCAGTATGAATATATCAATTTAAGAAATTTATTATAAAAAGTTCCCATAGATATAAATTTATCTTCAAGAAAAGTATTTAGGAGCAGATCACTAGGAGTTCATATTATAGTTTGTATGTCAAAGTGGAATGGAACTCTTTTGTGCCTTTAATTGAGCTAGAGCATAAGTTGGACTCAAATGCCTATGTTTCAATTGATAATAAGTTAAACAGGACTTTGTTTGAGAATATGATAATATTTTATAGTAATAAAAAATTCATGGATAAGATGGAATATTCAGAAGTTGAATTTTGGTGCAATATATGTATAATCCTTAAGTCCATGAGTGATATTTTTTCTTGAGAGGATGAAACAGGAGTTTTGTACTATATACTTGACCTTAAATGAAGCCTTGGTAACCCTCGTATATATATGCTGAGTACTATTGTGATTTGGTATAGAATTACTTAATGACCACATGCACTCAGGATGTAAAGTGATATTGACCCAAATGAATACATTGTATCCTGAAAATGCATCAGCATGTGTCTTATGTACATAATTTGTACATGTCATTGAACATTATTAATGGGGATAATGTGCGTTTGAACAGGGACATTGTTTTTACGTTAAAATATTTTTGTAATAATTTGATATGCATCAACATGATCATAACTTAATAAGAAAAAAATATTACATGTTCCAAGAAATAGATATTTTCAAAACCCAGAAAAATGATAAAAGAGAAGTGCAAATTACCTTGCATTAAAAAGAGATTTACAAAGGGATGGGCTTGGTTTCTTGATGGGGGTGTAGCTAGCTATTAACAATTTTGCAATCAATTTCTTTCTTGTTTTTTCTTTCTTTCTTTTTTGGAACAAAATAAAAAAAGGTTTTTAATATTATTATTAATTCTTCTGTAACCCCTTCCTAAATCTTAAGGTGGTTAGATTTTTTTCTATGTTGATATATCGTATATTATGTTTGACTTTTTAAAAACAAAATACATTTATCTCAGCTGTTACAAGCTTGCTGTGATTTCAAGTGACAGTCTGTAAAATAGATTTCTGTTATTTTATGTTCACTGTGCACTGTGTGGATGCTGTATATAATAAATTATGAAACATGACTCTGTACTTTAAAATCTCATATCTAGTCAAATACATGTTTCAGACTATGCAGAAGTTAGAAAAACTAATGGATGCCAAAGATGACAGTGATCTGCCGCAGTTATTGTCCCTGTCCAGGGGACCTAACCCCTACTTAGATAAAGAACGCTGTCTTTTATGTGGCTGTGAAAGAAATGATGCCCCTGAACCTCTTCCATTTGGAGACACTGGTTTGTACATGTTATGAACTATATTTATATCTTAATTTTACTATGAAGTGCTTATAATGATGTCTGTCAGACACGTCAGAGTTGTTGAAAAGTGTTGGTTCAGTCAGCAAGGCCATAAAAAACTGTATGGACTGATAACTACTAGTGAATGTCAGTCCAGTTGTTTGTTTAAAAAAAAAACTGTGATGTGAATAAAGATTGGGATGCACAAGTGAAGGTAGCATAAACATCAGATATGGTCATGTGGCTGATCAAATTTGTTAAAGTCTTTCTACTTGGTAAGATCTGAAAATTATGACAGATCAACACTCCTAAAGTTTGATACTATTAAAAGATCATGCTAAGTTAAAGTTTTGTCATTTATGTTTGTGGTGGTGGTATATTTTCTGTTTGTTTTTTTTAGGTGGCTCAAACAAGAGCTTGGAGAATTCTTTGTCTCAGGTAAAAAAGAAGTTTAATTACCTGTACCTATTTAAACTAATGAACATTTCCATATGTTTTTAAAATGAAATGTGGACTGTGAATTGTAATGATTTTAACATTTGTGAATTTTAGTTACCTTTATGGGTGTGTCTGGAATGTAGGAAGGCTACAGAGCAGGGCATTGATAGAAAAGTCGACATCACTTCCTTTATGGTATGTCACGTGACATATTACACTTTACAAATAAACAAACACAGTAACACTCTCCTTATTATAGCTTTGATATGCAAATATACACAAACACAACAACACTGTCTTCCTTCTTATAGCTTTGATAGATATAATATATATAATGTCAAACTTCAGTCTTACAATTGTGGATAATATACACTCCTGGATCACCTGCAAAAATTAAGTAATGTTTGTTTGAGCTACCCCCTGAATATCAAACCCTTTTGTTTTTTTACAGGATGCAGACTTGCCACCAGAGCCCTCACCGTTACCTTTCTTGGACCCTGGGTTAGACTCGGAACCAACCACGCCTAATGGCACTGTGTGTAACTGTGAGGCATGCACAGAGAGAAGGTATCTTTATCATTACAAGGCCCTCCAAAGCAAATTATTCATACATTCTCTCTAAAAACTGCTGGTATCTTTATCATTACAAGGCCCTCTAAAGCAAATTATCCATACATCTTACCTGCAAACTGCTGAAAAAAGAAATGTGTTTATTTCAGTCATAGTAAAACAGGAGAATTGTAGATGTTTCTCTACATTTATTTCAGACAAATAGAAACTGAACATGACCGAGAGACCCAGGAACTTCAGAACTGTTGGACGGAACTCCGGAAACTTGTACGAATGTTGTACGGGAGACGGGAGGGAGATTTATACGAGGAGGATACAAACGTTCCTAATAGTGAATCTGCCCAGGAATTAGTCCATAGGTAAAATAAGTGCACATGTTGTTATTCCTAGGAAGGATTTTACATTTCTGTGAGGCGTTGAACAATTGGAAATATGTTAGTAAGCAACTGTTGTTTATAGATGATATTTGTGTGGGAGTTATAACCAAGTTTTCCAAAGGATATAGTGCAAAGTGATATGCAGGGGGATAAATACATGATATATATTACATTTCATGTATATGGGAACAAGGACCCATACAGGTAAAATATAATATTTACTGTAAATTAGATTAGTGACATTTCTAAGTTTACTATTTTTGTTATAGGCTATGTGCAAGAGATCCTCACCAACTCTTTCTACGGCTGGAGTCTCAAGTCCGAGAATTTGTGATAGAAATGAAAGTGAAACTGCTGAAACAACTCAACTCGGGCTACAAATCTCCTCCTGAGTCCAAGTCTTTCATTCAGCTCCTCCTGGACGAGTATGGGCATCTTTGTAAGGTCTCCGCGGAAATGGGCAAAATTCTAGAAAAATTAGTAAGCATTGTTTTATTGTATAAAACATTTGAAAAGACTTATTTGTATCTGGTGTATACATGAGCATAATGAGTTCAATATATTTAGGAGGGTAGAAGTATGACTTATTTGTATCTGGTGTATACATGAGCATAATGAGTTCAATATATTTAGGAAGGTTGAAGTATTGTATTTTAATGTAAGGGTTATGATTATTATGAGACAGCTACATGTACATACATTTAAACTCAGCATTTACTATTTCTAATAATAATGCCAGCCTTGATTTTAAAAGGACATAGACAGACTTGTATTTTTATTCTGTTTACAATTTTTAATTTCTTTATTCATTTAAAGGTCATATGAAACGATTCTTAACACTAGGATTTTACTTTTTAAACGTAAAGACTGGTATGAAAGAATGTCAAATCACGTTTAGTAAAAAAATTTTGCCTTTGCTTAACTGAAAAATGAAGGCCTAAACGTGTCCACTTGATAAATTTGTTACCCGCTTATCGTTCTTGATTTTGTGTTTTTATGACGTCACAAAGACCCACTGATGTAAATAACGCATTAGATCTAGTGTAATTTTACCGTATTTTATTGAGTTAATTTTAGTCATTTTTGTGGGTATAAATGTGATTATGTATTCAGATGAGCTATCTGATTCTAAAGTACAGTTTACGCTATTTGAACTAATCGTTAATTAGACACACAACTGAAAACGAGAGCTTTTAATCGTAGGATGATCCTGATGAATACCCCATAGAAATCAAGATTTTTCTCCTCCAACTATGATTACTTATTTTAAATTAATACTTTAGAAACAATTTAAATCTTCTTATTTTTGTTTGATACGTATATATTTTTTTCCATTCCCAGTAAAATTGTATAATTAACAACAAAAACAGCGTAATTAATTAACATTGACCTGAAGCTTCTTACAATAAAAAATTTAATGGGCATGCAAAATCTGTAAAGTTGTGTCATATATTGAGAGGGAAAAATATGTAGCTCAAGAGTAACCCCCCCTCTTTTTTTTTTACCAAATTAACACGGGGATATTGAAGTTCATGATAAACATGGATCAATGAAAAGTCGGCGTATTTGAATGCACGCTTTCTGCAATCTGAAACATGAGGACTAATGTAAAGACAATATAGAAATAGGGGTTTATGACGACATCACCGTAATTTTGCTGTCACAAGAAACATGATTTAAAAAAAAATGGCTCAAAACTTACCTGCATTATGAGAATGTACATGTATATACATACACTGTAATGTTACGGTGCTTATACTTCTTACAGTTTGGCTGAGCAATTGCAGTTTGAAAGTACTTATACACTTCGTGCATAAATTGATCAGTTAAAAAAAATCCATGCGCCCATTATTTGCGAGACTGAACCTGAATAATTAATTCTCAAAATTAATACTTTTACAGTTCAACTTTTTTTTTTAAAACCAGACTATATAATAATCTGTGTTAAAATAAACTGTCTGTAAATATATACAGTAGGATTACATAGATAGAATTACGTTTAATGTCTGACTTTTTAAAATTATTACGATAATAGTTACAGTGTTATGCGTATATGTACCGACTTTTTGGTAAGAAAAAAAATACGGAGAGAGAGGGGGGGGTCATCGAGACAGGGAAAACCAAAGAGAGAAAAGTGATTGAGAACGGGGGAAAGCAATAGAATCATTTCAATGAAATCATTTATATGCAGGTTTAGTTTCACTTTCACACACAGCGCGGTCAATCGAATTCAGCTTTATAAATGCGCGTGCTACAGAGTACCTAGATAGCATCATCTAATCATGGCTTAAAAATTTAATCAGAAAAAAAATCATCAGTATTCTTATGTAAGAAATTTATTCAATTGTAAATTATTTGACAGCGTCTATATTCACTTACTCGAGTACAGACCCCCTCTCTTTGTAGTATCATCTCTCTCTGTCGATTGAAGTCTCGAAGGACGACAATAAATTACACAGATAAAACATACTAATATCTTGCAAATATGCAGTAGGATGTTAAAAGACAAATACTATCTTGTTTAAATTTCGTATATTTATGCGACGTTTTAGCCTAAATAATGATATTTCTTAAAATTTACGCTGTAAAAGACATGATCGGTTATATAAATGTTAGTACTGAATGTACGACTGGGTCTTACTGACGTCATAAGCAAAGGGAGATAAGCCGCGCTAGTTGAAGTTCATTTCTTCAGTCGAGTAATTTTGATCGACTCTGCTGCCGCTAACTTGCATAAAAAATTCAAAAATTAATATAATTTCAGGCTTATTGAAGTAGCTCAGATGAACTCATTTCCGTATACAACCCAAAATGCTCTGGACATTGTTTCATATGACCTTTAAGAAATTACTTCAGTTTAATGAATAGAACTGGCATGAAAATTCTTAATATTCAATAATAACGAATTCTTTACACCAAACACCTGTTTCCGTAAACAAGGGCTCGAACTCTGTTGCTGTTTATGTTTACGTAGTTGGGTTGTGTTTGATTTGCTAACCTGCAACTGTTCATGTTTACGTATTCGGGTGTGTTTGATTTGCCAACACTGCACACATCATTGAACATGAACTCACAATGTTGATGTGTGCTGATGTTGTTTCTTATATTTCTATTTTGACTTTTTTTGATTATACTTTTAATATATGCCCTTACCTAAGATTAATGAAACATTAAAAAAAACCCATTCCTTAAATATGTTAAAGCTGTCCACTTATACTTTGTGCCTAATTTTTGAATTAAATAAGTTGTAATAATTGGCTAGATTGAAGGTTAAAGCCAAATTGTAGATCAAGGTTTTTTTTATCAGAGTGTAGTTGGATTTGCCACCATTTATGACATCGTGTTCACACACTTTCAGAAAACAGATCACCTTTCCAAGTTCAATGTGACGTGGGAACTACATAACAAGCACCTGTTTCAGTCCATTGCCTATACAGAGCCTTCCATACAAAGTAGTCTTCATCTTATTATTTCACAACTCAGGTGAGAATTTTATATTTCACAACTCAGGTGAAAATTTTATATTTCAAAACTCACGTGAGTATTTTATGTTTCACATTCGAGAAGAGAATTTTATATTTCATAACTCACAATTTTTTATCTCACAACTCAGTTGAGGGTTTTGATTTGTTATTTTTCCTTTTGTTTTCTGTGGCATGCATTATTTTGAGCTACACAAGATTTTCTCGTGGAGAGTGGAGTGAAATCGAAACTATGACTTAATGGGTAAATGTTATATTTTACAGACTTGGTGCAGCATCCAAGGAGTCGTATCATGAGGATACATATCCAAACCTCTTACATCAATATTTGAAGTTCGACGATGAAATGTCTGTGATATCTGTAGTTTGGCGAGACAGCCATCAGCTGATAGAGCAGTATAATGAGGAACAGGTCAGTGTCACAACTCCAAGTAAAGCTATAGCAGTTGGGAATGAAATACAAAGATGTATTTAATTAAGATTCTGTTACGGAGAAAACATTGAGGGGACCATCAAATTGTGTTCTTTGCAGGCAACATTGAAATTGAAACAGAAAATGCTCAAAGAGGATTGGGAGTTCTTCAAAGCACAGCGAAAGATTTTAGAAGAGCAGGTGGCTAAAAGTGCGTCCTCCCCAGTGGCTCACAGGTCTGTGTAGAAGTTTGTAAACGATGAACTCTGTGCATTACATACAAGTAACTGCTGCATATATATACTTCTTTAATGGGTCTTTGGTATGAACCTTGAGTTGCAGATTCTTTTGTCTATTTAACAGTTTTGAGGCTCAATTTACGGAGACAATGAGGATGATGTTACAGGGAACTAAACCTGGTCCTGAGGAGTGCCATTGTCCTCGATGTAACCGTAAAAGGTAGGTTGTGATTAGTGTTACTGTCCTCGATGTAACCGTAAAAAGTAGGTTGTGATTAGTGTTACTGTCCTTGATGTAACCGTAAAAGGTAGGTTGTGATTAGTGTTAACTGTCCTCAATGTAACCCTAAAAGGTAGGTCCTGAGGAGTGCCATTATCCTTGATGTAACTGTAAAGGTAGGTAAATACGATGTTGCAGGGATCTAAACCTGGCCCTGAGGAGTACCATTAATACAGTGTTATAGGGAACTAAACCTGGTCCTGAGGAGAGTTACTGTTCTTGACCTGACTGTTAAAGGTATGTGTAAGTTAATATGCTCTCCAAAAGATTCACTGTAAATGTAGAAATAAAACACTTTTCACAATACAGACTTGCAAGGCAAGTATTTCCTCACTTCACATAGCTGTTCATTGTTAAACCATTGTAAGACAAAAAAAAAAAAAAAGAAATAAATCCTGTGCTTAGGTCCAGTAAAAGGATTCATATAATTTACAATGTGCATAAATTGCAGTGTTAACATCAGTATACACTTATTTCATGACTACAAGGGGAACAGTCAAACTGTTGTCCTGAGGCAATGGGGAAGACCTGGGCAACAGTTTCCCAGGTCTTTCCCATTATCGAATATAAGTTCTGCTATCTGTAAGAGAGTATTCAGAATATATAAGTAAAAAGGTTGGTTACCCAATAACAGTTTAGTGTGTATTGGTTAATAACTATGTTATGTTTTATATGTATAGGTGTCCTTGTGATGAGTGTACAATAACACACATGATTACATGTGGAATTATCAACCCTGAGGCACTGGAGGCCAGTAATCCTGGGGGACACCCCACCTTTCTTCATGACCCTAACCGCTATCGAATTGATGTCAGTCCTCCTTCTATGTCCAGTACAACGTCCAGCAGTGGTTCCTCTAGTCCGCTTATCCATGAGAGACTCAATCTTCCATTCAACGAGTCAGCTCAAAAGTATGTGTTATTTCTCATCTCACTACATGTAAACATAACATTTTGATGTTAATAAAATGGCGTGTTAATTCATCTTGCATATGTGCATCAGGGATGGGGTAATCGTAATCGATTGTAATGATTACTGTTTTTCAAGTAATCGACAGTAATCTGTAATCGAAGAGATTTTCGATTACTTGTAATCGTAATTTAATCGATTACAGCTAAAATTTTCAATGTAATTATAATTACTTTTTCCATTACTTTCGATTATTTTATACATGAATGGATGTTATTTTGGAGAATTATTTCCAGTCAGTCACACATAAATATCAAATATAAACCACCTAGTGTAATGTTTGGATTTCCTAACTTTTCTTATCATAAGTTTAATAATGTTCTCAATAAAATTTGCATTATAGACCTACTGGTCTAGTATTAAATAATTCAGAAGTGTATTTCAACCATTTATTAATAAAATATACAGATTTTTCATGTGCATTTTACATTTGACCCACTGTCCTCTTGCTGCATGTCCTTTTTCATATTTCAGATGTTGAAAAACTTTGTCTTGTAATAGAAAATTATAAATAACAAAAACAGATTTAAGTGCTGTATAAAATATAAATAATTTGGTAAATAAACTACATTGTACTCGAAAAAAAGAAGAAGATGGAAATACTTATTCATATCTGAAAATGTTTAAACAACTTCAAACTTGTGTTTCAGTAACTTTAAAATTTGCAAAATCATTCTCATGTTTTCCTTCAAAATTGTAAGGTTGCTTTTATATCAGTGAGAGCTAGGTTATAAGTGTCTAAGAGAGGGAGTAAGTGTCACTGTGTTGGCTTATCTTAATTGGCTAATTAATTGACTAAGACATATCCCTGATTGCAGATAATGAGGTGTAAACTGTGAACTACCTAGTGTTTAACTTTCATTCCATTGAAGACAAACAGTATTATTAAAATAATTAATAGCTCTCAAAACACTTATTTCAATACAGAATGAAATTGTGCTACATGTATTAGTTAAATTACTTAAGGACACATTTAATTTACATGTTTATTACTAAGAGCTCATTCTAATTTACTTATTTTTTTAAAAAAGACACGTACAGGAATGTTTAATGTGTTCTTTTAACATACGGGCAGCCCAAATACTTCTAATGAAGTAATTCACAATAAAATATTAAACAATTTTTTTCAACAAGTCAATAAATATGGAGGTTCAGATCCAAGGTTGAAAGGAATAATTAATTCCTTGGCATATTTTATTGTAGGAATCATGTCTCCACTTTAAGTAGAGAATCCCTCATTTGGGCATTTAGTGAGAATGTTAGCCAGAATAAAACCTTAAAAGAATCTGCACTGAAACTGCAGGAACACATTCAAACTTCAGTGGATAACATCAACATTTACCATTTAAATATTGCTTTGATATTTGAAGAGATAAAAACTTGGAAGTAATCGATTATTAATCGATTACATCTTCCAAAGTAATCGATTACAATCGATTACAGGACAAAAATGAGTGTAATCGATTAATAATCGATTACACAAAATTCCTCTAAGTAATCGTGCCCATCCCTGATGTGCATATTAAAAAATTGTCCTTCACTGCATCAAGTACTGGTGAAAAATTAAGAACATACAAATGTTCATTGTCCATTGGGAACAAAAGAGCCTAAGAGATTAATACCTTTACATGTATCAAGATCATATTGGCTAACATAGCAGCTAGTTGGTAGATATTTATCTAATTTTTTTATTTATCTTATTGAATGGACAGCTAGCCTAGCTGCTAAGTGTTAGATTTCTGATAAAAATATATTGGTATAAACTTACTTTGAAAACAATAAAATTTATTTCAAGCGAAAATGTAAAAATGTAAATTTACTTTTGATTCACAAAGATGTAGAAAAAAACTCCTTTTTGTTTAAATCTTGTTTGCTGTAGTGTAACTCAGGAGTCCATCTTGGATTTGGTACTTAGCATCAAATATTTAGGCTAGCTCTTCCTACGTACCGGCTAGGCTAGCCTAACATTAAGATTGAAGCTTTACATAGAGGCTACGTAGCAGCTACGCTATTGAACGCACCCATTAACATTACCATTACTGTTACCTTTAACAGTAACAAGTTCTTCTTGTTTACATCAGTAGGGAGGATATGGCAGATAATGATAACAATCAGTCCAATGATGTAGAAAATGAAGATGGAAGAAGATTGGAGGAGGAGAATCAGGAAAGTTTAGATGTGTATGATGAAGATGATGATGACGAGGAGGAGGACGATGATGACGAGGAGGAGGACGATGACAAAGAGGCAGGTCAGATGTCTGACATGGATATCTGTGATGAGGAGGAAGATGATGACGAAGATGACGAACTCGATAACTATGACATTGACTATGATGAGGAAGACGATAGTCGAGGAGTGAGGGAGAATTCCCAAGAGAAAACCAAGCATGGCATTAGAGAACTGATTTCTCCTTCCATGTATCTGGGAGATGAGGATGATGACGAAGCGCTGGAAGATCTCATTAGCTCAGAGAAATGTGATTGCTTTCATTGTAAAAAGCAGGCACAGAATGAACAGAAGGTCAGAAAGCATTTTTTTTTTGTGTTCATAATTTTATTGAAAAGTAATTTTGTACAACATAAATGAGAATATGAAGTTGGAATAATTAGACTATGGTTATTAGAAATTTTAAGTAATTTTGGCAATGGAAAATAAATTAAAGTCACAAGATTTTTCCAATAATGGTGAAGGATGTTACTTAATCTTAAAGAACAGATGTAGTAGCTATAGACAGCTTATATTTTTGTTTTTTGAAAAATAAATTTATGTATTTTTAAAGAATAATTTTTTTTTTGTCATTCTTTTCAGACAAAGCAGGAGGAAAACTCTTGTAAATGCTATGCCTGTTTACGAGAACAAGGAAACACAGTGTCCACCTCGTTACCACAGACTATTGCCCCCGAGACATCACGACCTGCTGAGCTCCATCTGTATCCTCACATCCACGGCTCACCCAGCCTGCATCCACTGGCCAATCACCACGTTCCTCCCCCTCTTCTGCCTACTCAGTTGTACGATCTCCACATGCCAATCCGCCAGCCTAAGTCTTTACTACAGACGACAGGTAAAGTCCTGCCAAAGCTGGACTTTGATTCTCCTGAAGGAATCCATGAGCACATGTACCATGCTTATGGAGAGTGGGATAATACGTACAATGCTAGCATTCCTTTTCAGAAGTACAGTGGTATAAGTACCGATCTCCTCCCTCCTCCTCCCCTGACCACTAATTTTAACACTGCAAGCTTTCTGAACGAACCTTTCTCAGTGGCAACACAGATGGGTGTCGAGACAGTCTCCACGACTACCATACCAACAAGTGCTTTCAAAACTTCTGTCAGTCACCATGTGTCACTATCTACTCCCCAGTCCATGGCAAATATCACGAATGTAAACCATGACCACACTGCCGTAATGGTGTCTCACAGTGATCTGCCAGTTAACAGCATGACCCCTCCCTGTACAAGGCCAGTTACTCTAGGAGGTAATATCTCACAAAAGCAGACAGTGGGACCCACCCCTAGTGTTACCTCAGACCAAAAGCAGCATTCACAACACTGTAAAAGGCATAACTCAACTCTACTGGGAAAAAACAATGCCAGCTGTCAGGCTCATAATAATAATAATAATGCTAGTACTGTCAAAGTTACACAGGAGCTGTTCTCAGCTGCTCGGAATATCCGGGAGAATGCTAAAGAGGGCATGCAGATGATCCGCCAGTTTGCCAACAGTCTAAATGCCAACAATAACACCCATTCTTGTAACCACAATAACAGGAATCCCCCCAACCATGTGCTCCAGCCTAATCCAGACCATAACCACTGTCCAAATGGCGTCTCCATGCCGACAACGGTCAATAACGTCAGCGTGGGGACATCAACAGTGTGTATGGAACCAAACTGTAGCAACCACTGTGGGGATGAGAACTGTGATAGCGTGGATGACAGCTGCTCAGATCCGAGTTCCCTGACGTCCTCGTCCAACCAGAAGGAGGGGAAATACTGTGATTGCTGCTACTGTGAATTCTTTGGTCATGGAAATGTAAGTACACATATTCTGCAAATTTGTGTTTTCACATGGTAAAGATTCATTTCATCAAAGAAGTGAGGATCTGTTATGTAAAAAGATTGAGTTATAAGAAGTAGTTATTTGAAGAAACAGGGTCTATTTTTGTGCAGTAGGGATGCTTTGAAGTGTGTAATAAAAATATTTTTTCTTTCAGCCTCCAGTTGCTCCAACAAGTAAGAACTATGAAGAAATGAGGAACAGATTGCGACTGAGATTAAAGAGAAAGGTGAGATATTCCTCTTCTTAAGGATTATTATATTTTGTGGAATCTGTTTAGGACCTTAGCAAATATAGGTGATCTCTTTTCACAAGATGTTCTCCCATGAATAGGTAAATTTTTACCAATCCATAAGAATAAGTCCCTACAAATGAAAATGATTCCATTGTATAGAAAATCAGTTTTATGTCATGATTCAAATGAGAACTTCTCTACAGAAAAGTTCAATGAAAATTGAGTGTATCTGAATATTATTCCTTATGAAGTTTGTTTTCCATGAGTAAAATTAATCTGAAAAGTATTTTATTTCAGCAACAAACGGAAAAGATGCAAGATCCTCACCACCAGAATTGTATCATGGCAAATTCCAATCACAACAATAATACACCAGCTCCCCCTGTGAAGCCTGTCCCTCCCCCAGTATGTCCCCCAGAAGATCCAGTGGATGTCAAAGGCTTAGATGAACTGCTCAACTATATTAATGGCACAGAGAATAAAGATCAAGCACCTGAAAAATCCTCCAAAGCTCAGAAAAGGGCGAGGCAAAAACAACGCAAGGCTGAGGAGAAAGCCAGGCTTGAAGCCGAGAGACTGAAAAGAGAAGAGGAGGAGGCAGAAAAGGAAAGACAGAGGTTGGCTTTGTTAGAGTTAGAGGAGAAGGAGAAAGCAGCCCAGAAAAAGAGGAAAAAGAAGAAGAAGAAGGGTTTGGAAACTCCCAATGGAATCGATCTAGATCTGAATCTTGTTAGGGAACCCCCGGCTGGTAAAGAAGATGATACAGTGACAGCTCAGAAAGAGAAAGGCAAATCTAGTGCCAAGAAATCAGCTTCCAATACATCTCAGCCTGTAGGTAAAGTCAAAGACACTTCTAACAATGCCAGCTCGCCTAGGATTACTGAGACAAGAGTCCAGGATTCTGACCCAGTGATCCATTCTCCCAAAGCTGCTAAGGAGAAGAACGAGAAGTCTAGTCTACCTGAAAGTAGCAAGAAGCAGGGTGAGAATAAAAAGGTTCCACTGACAAATGGCAATGACAGAAGTGCTAAACTTAAGACAAAGTCTGTGCTGGAAGAAATATTGGATGGGACTACCAAGAAACTTAAAAGGTCTACTATCAACCAGAGTAATGTTATTGTGCAACCGGTACCTGTCACCTCTCAGACCCAGAAGACAGCGGTGACCCCACAAGTAACAACAGCACAGCAAGTTCAACAGCCCACTCAGGCGCCAAAACAACTGAAACAGCAGAGTCAAGAGCAACTGCTAAAATCTGCACCTGCCTCAAAACAGACATCCCAGTCCCAGAAACAAAATATTCCTCAATCGCCAAGACAACAAACCAGACAGCAGGTCCCACCTGCCCGACAACAGCAGACCCCAGAAGCTGTCAAAATCATGCAGCATCCTCCAAACCTGCACCCCCCTTTCTCCAAAATCACAAAGCTTTCAAAACTGACCCCAGAGGAGATCAGCAAACAGCAGACGCTAGCCGCACAACTTATTGCCAAGCAACAACAACAGCAGCCCCTGCCACAAAAACATGCCCCACGACAGGCTGGTGTACCTGCCAGCTTCCCACAGCATATTCCAACAAACATACAACAAAACCATGTTGTTAGGCCATGTGTCGTCCAGAATGGAAAGACCAGTTTGTCTCCCGGAATGAATGGTGTCATGTTCAGACAACCCCCACCACCTCCAGTGTTTTCCTCACAACCGCCTGTCTCACTCCTGTCTAAGTCGCCCGAAACCAAGAAAAACAAGACTATCAAACAGGACGACTCACCTCCAGACCAGGTTAGTTCTACCTCTTTTGTAAACTTACTGAAAGGTTTAGTCAACATCTTCGTCATTCTCTCTAAATTGAAATTGTTGAATTGCATTTATTCATAAACAGTAAAACAAGCCAAGTAGCTTATAGTGAATTCATGTTAAAGCAAAGTGATATTCAAGAAAGGGTTTGTTTGTACAAGAAAGGTTTTGTTTGTACAAGAAAGCTAGTTTCAAGTAAACTTTTCATCATTGGAGAAGGCTGTGAACGCCTCTTCATGAATTAAGGTGTTTGTCAGATGAAATTTACCAGTTTGTTCACATTATTTTAACAGGGAAAAGGAGGCAAAAACAAAAAGAAGAACAAGAAAAATAGGAATAGTGAAGATCTGAGTGTTATTGGTAAGAAAAACAACAAAATTCTGTCCTGTTTTTTTTTTCCTCTGAAAATCGATATAGCCATGTAAATAAAGTTTATTACACAAATTCAGCTTGATAATTTGTTTTCAGATGAAATCTTCATGCCCAAGGCTGAGGGAGAAATAGAGAATGGAGAGATGGATGAGGTGGAAAAAGAACTGGAGGAGTTTAAAAGGTAGATTTTACCGACATTACTTCATGGAGCGAACTAGTTCTACAAGTACTGACTTGAAGTAATTTTTGTCCTAGCTTTCAGAAAAGTGTGGGGACATTAATTTTCACAACTTTTAGGCCTTCTTAGAAGAGAAGAGACAGGGTTTTCTGTTTTGCTTTTTTTTTCACCTGAGACATTTCCTTTTCCCAAATTCTTTATGATTTTTGATCTAAAGATCTAGACCTCAAAGTTTGACTTTCAAAAATTTAACTTTGGCTGTAACTTTTGAAACAGAATATATTACTTCAAGCTTTTTTTTATTATGTTGAACAGGGCAGTTACAATATGCCATGGGTCTTTGCACCCCAATCAATCAGGCCTTAAAGCATGTACATACAATAAAAATGCTTGTTGTCCTTCATAAATAACGAGAATTCTGTAAACCAACTACCAGTATTAATTGTGAAAAATTTTATTCACAATTTGTCAATCTTAAATCTATCTGTGATGACTAATTTCTGAGACTGAGGAATTATTTTGTATAAATATACAATGAAATAAATAGTCACTGTGAGAAATATTCATGATTAAAAGAAGGTCACAAAACGCAAGGATATCGCACATGGATAGTTGGTTTACAGTTCTTCCCGTTTTCATTCACGGAAATTTAGTTTCTCATGAGGAAAAAACAGTTCTTGAGAATAAATGTTAATTATGTTTTGAAGTCTTTTGTCAAGTTTAAGACCATGTTGGTTTAAGGTTGTTTTTATACATCATTTTGGAATGTTTTTTCAATGGGGTATTGTGTTTCAAAATTCCTCTTTAAAAAATCAGGTAATAAAATTTTAGTGAAGTGGATGTAACCTCTTGTAAATATATACATACATGTATATTTTACTTTTTCCCTTTCACTATCCTACATGTATTTAATTTTCTTGATGACCAGTCTATTTATACCTGTATATTCTGGCATGTTTTTGATTCATTAACTGATGTTATTTGCATTCAATGCAGGTTTTGTTTGAACAATACACCAGTGAAGAGGGAGAAATTACAAGTGAACATGAACTTGAAGGACATCTTTGCAAAGAAGAAGTCAGGATTGGGATGCAGCTAAATGACGGACACACCTTCAATGTATCGACCAGTTTAGTGTTTGGCTTTGAATATTTGATGTTTGCTTGTCAGTGTTATATCAAAACTCTTGTCAAATGAAATTTGATAAAATATTCCAGCAGGTTATTTTCCTAAAAATCTCAACTTATGTTAAAATCAGGAATACTATAGATAATTATATATAATCATTGCCTAAGGGCAAATTCATTTCATCTCTAGGTGAATGAGGTAAAAATTTGTCAGTTTAGGGAAAAGCTCCTCTTAAATGTATTACTTGATATCAATGAAATGTTCTGGTATGGTAATAGACTGAACCTCTCAATATCTATTTTAAACTGTGGTGACCTTAAATTCATCTTTTACTTGCACTTGTTAAGTGATCTAATAATATTTCCTATGAAATATACTTCTATATCACAGCCTACATGGCTTTTAGTGATTGTTGAATGTTTCTCATTTGTTGAAGCCATTGTTTTTATTTATTTCCCTTTTATATTGCTCTGTTTTAATGAGACTATGCAAAGCACAATGTTGCATTGTTAATGTCAATCACATCTTTTTCGACACTGTGTTAATTAAAAAAATGAATCAATTTATAGATGGACTGCACCACTGGACTGGACACTGTGTTAATTAAAAAAATGAATCAATTTATAGATGGACTGCATTGTGTATCGTTTTGTGACTTATGGAATTAATATACAAGGCATTGAAGGGCAGATCTTTTAGTGTCTGATGTTAATTATTTAATGCTGCTGTATTGACAATGTGTATAAGTGTGTTAGATTTGTTTTCGTGCATGAAAGATATTGTTTGACATGACATGTAGATAAAGAGTTATTAATATATATACTCACTGCTACCAGGGTCTAGAGGGCCTGCTATGTGTAAAGGGGGACACTTTGGGGGGCTGACTCGGTGTTACAGTGGGGATACTTTGGGGATGAGGATGTCTTAGGCTTTGTTGCATGTTGGCCTAATATTTTGAAGTTATGTTGCCATGTACATTCAATAAATGAAATGGACACTTATAATTTGACTGAATTGTTTTTATTCTCCAACAGATGGTCCTAATTGTTGATGCCTTCACTGACTACAGATGTGCCTTGTTAATCTGGAAGCTTGTGTTTCCGAGCAATTTATCTGGATTACTTTAAAATACTTGGTAATTATATATTGTTTCCAATAAACTTTGTCCAAAAGGTGCAGTGTCTGGATTATTGGTATCCAGATTAACAAGACTCCACTGTAGTTTGTTGTGATTGTTATTCACTGTCATACCTTGTCACAAGTTATAAGCCCAATCATAGATGTCACAACAAACAACTGCAAAATCATACCTATAAGCTCTTCTGATTTATATAAACCGGAAGTCTCTGATGAGACTTTAGCTCTACTGGTTGTACTTATAAAGGAAGATAAAAGTAGCACTTGGACTTGAAACTTTGCGACAGCAATAAATAGAATAATGATCTTTGGTTTAGTCTCTTTTTGTGGCAAGATTTATTGCAATCAGACTAAAACTGTAGGAGGAGTAGCCTTTTAAAACAATTTTACAGAAATTTCGATTTAAGTAACCATGGCAACATCTTTCAACAAAATCAAAAAACAATAGCGAAAATTAAGTATTTCAGTGTAGTCTACTTGTATGCCAAGTTATACTGAAATCGGACAAAAAGTGTAGGAGGAGTAGCATTTTGAGAGAATTTCACAGAAATTTCTATTTCAGTAACCATGGCAATACTGTTTATCGAAATCCAAAACTGGTATAGAGAATTATGTATCTAAGTGTAGTCTACTTGTGTGCCAAGTTATATTGAAATGAGACCAAAACTGTAGGAGGAGTAGCATTTTGAAAGTATTTCAAGGAAATTTCTATTTTTAGTAACCATGGCAATACCGTTCATTGAAATCAAAATCCGATACACAGAATTATGTATCTGGCTCACGCTACTTCTAGGAACTGTTTACATTCATAAAAAAGATGCAAAACATGATTGTTTAATACATGTTGACTCAGGACCCTTGGCATTGCGAGGATGTACATGGATTAACATGTTAAAGTTTTGAGCACTAGAACTTATCCCTGCCGATCAGACAACCGTCTATCCCTAACAACAGTTTAAAAAATCTCACTTCAGATCTAATGCTTTTGGATTCTTGTTTCCACAAAAGTAGAAGAATGACTAAAATTAAAATCTTGAAAAACTTTATTTGACTTCCTTTTTAGCTGCTAAAATTTCCAATGCCCCAAAAATATGTATTTTCTCATGTTTTTCATAGAATTCTTGAAGAGTTCCTTCATTTTTCATTTTTGTGACTTTTTGTATCATGTCCTGAATTTCTGACTCTGTACAAGTTCCCCAGAATGATATACTGTCCCTCCAGGATTTTTCCAAAGGTCCCTCTATGTTATCATGATTTGGGTGATACGATGCCATCAATGTTGACTGAGCTGACACAAGTTTAAACCCAGACTCCTCCAGAATTGTCTTCATTTGTTTGTGAGTAAGCAATCTTTTGTGCCAACGCTCTGTGTTCTGAGGGACAAGTTTTGAAAACCAGTTTCCATCTAATTGTTCAGGTGTCACGGTAGTGATGGTTAAAACCCCTCCCGGCTTGAGGATCCGATATGCCTCCTTCAAAGTTTGAACTACCTTTGGAAAAGATTTTCCATCAGGATTTTTCTCTAAATGATGTAGAACCTACAAAGGACATTCAAAAGCTTTAACAATTGCCAAAGCTTAGGTTTTAATCTAAATTGACCAGTTTGTGTGAGTCGAAGCAGAAAAATATGTGTAGCTTACAATATTGTGTTAACTTAAACACAAAGTGCACCAACAGAAATTTTTATGCCCCGCCATGAATATGGCCGGGGCATATAGTGTTTGTCATGTCCGTCTTCTGTCCTTCCGTCCTTCCGTCCTTCTGTCCTTCCGTCTGTCCTTCCGTCACACTTTGCGTTTAGCTCTGTTCAAAGCTCAGTTTCAAAGAAACTATCCAAGATATTTTTATCAAACTTCATATGCTGATAGATATTGATGAGGGCTATGCAACTGCATCAACATTTTTTGACCTTGACCTTTCCTTTGACCTTGACCTCACTTTTCTTAAATTAGTGTTTAGCTCAGTTTTAAAGATACCATTCAAGATAGTGTAATCAAACTTCATATGTTGATACATACTGATGTAAGCTATTCAATTGCATCAACATTTTTTTGACCTTGACCTTTATTTTGACCTTGACCTCACTTTTCTTAAATTAATGTTTAGCTCTGTTTTAATGAAACCATTCAAGATATTTTTAACAAACTTCATATGCTGATACATACTGATGAGAGCTATTCAACTGCATCAACATTTTTTGACCTTGACCTTTCCCTTGACCTTGACCTCACTTTTCTTAAATTAGTGTCAAACTTCATATGCTGATACATACTGATGAGAGCTATTCAACTGCATCAATATTTTTTGACCTTGACCTTTCCTTTGACCTTGACCTCACTTTTCTTAAATTAGTGTTTAGCTCAGTTTTAAAGAAACCATTCATAATATTTTCATCAAACTTCATATGCTAATACATACTGATGTAACCTTTTCAACTGCATCAACATTTTTTGACCTTGACCTTTCCTTTGACCTTGACCTCACTTTTCTTAAATTAGTGTCAAACTTCATATGCTGATACATACTGATGAGAGCTATTCAACTGCATCAATATTTTTTGACCTTGACCTTTCCTTTGACCTTGACCTCACTTTTCTTAAATTAGTGTTTAGCTAAGTTTTAAAGAAACCATTCATAATATTTTCATCAAACTTCATATGCTAATACATACTGATGTAACCTTTTCAACTACATCAACATTTTTTGATCTTGACCTTTCCTTTGATCTTGACCTCACTTTTCTTAAATTAGTTTCTGAATCAAACGTCATATGCTGATACATACTGATGATTTGTGTTAAAATGTTGCATTACTAATATACCCTTGGCGGGGCATTCATGTCCTATGGACATATTTCTAGTTTAAACAATGAAGCAACCATGCATGCCACACATACCAGATTAATCATTGCAGCATCAAAAGAATTGTCATCATATGGCATCTCTGGCAGAACGACTTGTTTGAATGACAGGCTGGTTTTGGCAGGGTCAGGGGACAGTTTGGCTTTGGCCTTACTAATCATTCCCTCACTAGCATCCATTAACACCAAGCTGTGTGGCTCAAATTGGAGGAAATATTTAGAGTAGTTACCCGTTCCACATCCAATGTCAATAATATCCATGTCCTAAGTTTTAAAAAAGAATGACAATTTTAATTGAAGATTACAAGAGGCACATGGTCCACATTACTCTCTGGAGGCACCCTAGCCCTGTTGTTCTAAATTTAGATAAAGATTATTAGATGTAGTTCTGTTTATGGGTTCAAATTTATAGCCCATTAAACAATCTTAAAAACTTATTGCCCTTTTACTTTGATTTCTGAAAAATGATTTTGAGTCGGCATCTTCATGACCCATTAGATAATGGGTTGCAATTAAATAAGGTCTAAAATTAATTCCATTGACGCAAAATTCCAAAATCATACCAATTTTGTCTGTTAAATACTTTTTCAAAAATTCTGTGAAGGACAGAATATCAAGATATGAAGATTTCAAGATTTGATATATATCCGAAAAAAATTGTTTCATCCCTGTTTGGGATAATATTTTAATTTCATGTACTGTAAACATATATAAATTAGCACACTCAAAATTTAGCGCAGTCCTCCTCATCACCCGATTAGTAATCATGAATTAGTGAATTTGGATACAAGCTTCTATATGTGTTTATTTTAATCCTATATTAGTGTGTATTTTACATTAGTGAACAGGAAGTATCATGAAAGGAGTTAAAATATGACTACCACTAAAATAACTACATTTACTGTAACAGTATTATCTTATATGACCTTGGTCAGTTTTTACCTTGACACTTTTTCCGGTGAAGTTTTCCATTAGACTTTTGAGAATGTGGGCTTCAGCAGCTTCCCTTGTGGAGTCGTACAATTTAGAAATTTCATTGTACTGAGCTATCTCACTCATTTTACTTCAACAGCTTTAACCCTGAGCCTACAAATAAATAAAATCATATTATGAAAGTCAGCACTTAAACTTTTGATATGTGCTTTCAATTGTTTCTGTGTGAGTGTTGCAGAATCACACAGAAGTGTAAATATATCATTGCCTAGAAACTTGACAGAACGTTTCTTGTATAAAAACAATCTCTCTTAAATCATACCTTGAACCAGGCCAAGGGGACATTTTAATTTTTGTATGTACATGATGATGTTAAATATTGAATTGGCTTTATGGAAGGCAATCTAAACAATTTCAATAATAAATTTAAATATCATTAAAAAGTCAATATCACAACAGGGTTGTTAATAAGAATTGAAATAGAAGGGGACATTAAAAAGTAAAAGGGGTCTGGAGTTCCTCCCCATATGGAAAGTTTAGGGAGAATACCAAAATAACCAGGGGATTCGTCATTCATAGGCGGGAAAACTCCCTGGCCCCCAGGTCTTAGGGATAACCCTGTACGTATTAACCATTTATTATTGTGATTTTTATTAAATTGTTGAGCCCATGACCCACACATTATCCCTTGGTTTCCTGTTCTTAATAAAAATGTATTGTAACATAAGAAAAACTTATTGTGATGTATAATCAACATGATCAAGCAAAGGACTATATATTTCTGACAGACAATGACAAAATAAAAGAGAAGAGACCAGGATTTGAAGCTGCTGGGTCTCTTTAACACTAGGCATCTACCTATCAACCAAGATTTGGCCACCAGCTCTGATCCAGCCTATACCTGCATGGCTGCACATTCTTCCATCCATTTTCTTAAAGACACCGACCCAGGCTTTCCCATGGCAGGTTTTTACCGGGCATATCACTTCTAGGCAAGCTAGGTATAAAATGTGATATAAGAAGAGAGGAGAATGCGAAAAACTCAACAGACTCAAGCACCAAGCTAAATAGATGATGTGGCAATCAGGTAGATCGCTCAGTTGGTGGAGCTCTTGTCTAGAGTTCAGAGGACCCAGGTTCAATTCCATTATAAGATCTGGCCCCAAGACCATAAACTGAGAATAGACTTAAGTCAAAATCTTGATTCTCAGTATCTTGAGTATTGATTTACATGTGTGTTTCTAAATTTGCATGTTTGTTTAATATCAGAATACGAACAAATTATGAAAATTTTGTTTGATTATTAAAATTATTTCAGAAGTTATATCAATTTGAAATTTTGGCTTAAGTCTGCTCTCAGTTTATGGTTTTGAAGCCAGGTTCTGAACCATGCCTATTCTCTTTAAAGACCCAATTTTTTTTACCGTACGGTTACCTGAGGAGGGGGAGTGGTCTTGATAGTACTGGTGTTATTTACCTGGAGCAGCTGTGGAGAGCCCCAATACTCAAGATGTCAAAAATTCCTTAGCCTTATTAAAAAAAAAGTTGAATTATAAGCTATAATAAATAACCTTCATTCTTACCTTGTATCGTTAAACGGATATTTAGAATAAAGTGATTTTCGATCACTTATAATGTTACGATAGAAAAATATTCAATCTGAAAGTGAAACTAGACTAAATTCGGAACTATCACGCCATCCCGTCTCTGGTTTCAGCTCCTTCCATCTAACACATACTTCCTACTTGATTTGTGGATGCGAAAAAAATATTGCATAACGAGATGACATCGATCATTTAAATTAAAACAGGGAGGCTGAAGAGAACGGTAATGTTTTCTTCTGGTGTGGTAGAAAAAAGTATCATGATATTAAAATCTGACTCGAAGAATTAGTTTAGTGTTCAAATTCCTTTTTTGAAATTCATGCAATGTACTTAGCTAAAGTTTATTGATACGTAAAATGTCCTTTGTCTTTTGTTTACCTGTGCATATGCAGAACTCTCAATTGGCTATTATTGAGGCCGCTGTATGACCCCTTTCCTAAATGGGAAATTTATAATAAGTTTTTTCCCCCAGCTGATTGCATGGTGTTATTTTTCACATGGTCATTACTAGATCTAATAGAAATTAAAGCAAAATGCTATAATGTGTTTTTATATATGACTATGTTGAGATTTTCTTAAATTTCCTAAAATTTTCTGAAAACGCTGCACATTTTAACTGCCCCCACCCCTGCACCAAAAACAGTCTAGACGAACTCCAAAAACAGCGTGAACTCCGAAAACGAAGTCTTTGGCTCCATCATGCATTGCGGCAAAATGGTGTCCGATGTAAACAAACGATGGATTGTCGTTCGTTTCTCCAAATATACGGCAGCATAATGGCTGTATTTAGTGCATCGTTATTTCATTTTATTTTTTGTTGAATGGATAATTGCATTTATTAAATTATTTTGTGGATATTGACTTATTTATTGCTTCAAACTCTTGCATAATAGTGAATTGGATATACGACATCGAATTCAATACTGCCGGTAAGAAATATTTTCTTATTTGATTTATTGTCCCCTTGATTTAAATTTTATGTCGTTCCTACAATAAAGGTGCTTTTATTTGTTTTTGAAGACACCCAGCTTGTATTTATTTTAATCAGAAAATGCGCATTTTTCACCACAGAGCAGAGATATTCACAGGTTCATTTTTAGAAGACATGTTGTGCCCTTAATATTTAGAAGAGTGGTTTTTAAAGTTTTCATATTAATAGGTAACAGTTTTAAAAATGTTTTTTTATAATAACATCTGTTGGTATGTGATTAAAAAATCGGTAAATAACAATGGTAAGAACTTAAGCATTCAATCCCGATGTCGTACACAAATAAAAAACCGGAATGCTAATTTATGTGTAAAATTCAGTCAAGTTTTTTACAGTTTCAATATGTATGTCCCATTTTGCATATATATCCCTTTTATTATGCATATTTCCTTCTCAAAACGTATCATTTTCTCTGTAATTGATCCGACTTGAAATGTTAACTTTGAAAGTAAATATCTCCTTTTTTGCAAATAAAATCAAAAATCTGACAAATACGATCTCTTCCGAAGTCTTTTATTTAGCATATCTGAGTACTTGCATAATTGCCATACTCTTCAAAACTTTGCACGGACAGTTTTTGTAGACCCATCATTTTTGCCGAAAAATCGCCATTTTTTGTGTTTGTGCGCATGCGCGGACTCTATTTTCGGAGTCTTTTTCAGTCTCAATTTCTTACTTCCGGAAACGCTGTTTTTGGAGTTCGTCTAGACTGAAAAAGTGGTAATTGAGAGCCCTGGTGTATGACATGATAGCTGCATGAGAAATGTTTTCATATTATATCCATATTTCCACGGGTGAAAATATTACGGTAGTTCATTGTAAGTATGAATTTGCAATATTCACTAAAAACATATTTTACCACATATTTCTGATCTGCCACCAAACTCTTACAGAACATGGCAGAGTCATCAGATTCAGAATGCCTGGATCACAAACTGAGACAAGAGATGCAGCAGTGTGTGGAACAACTGACAACAAGTGGCAAACCAGTACTTAATGTAGACACCATGAAAAAATTCAAAAGTATCTGCAAGTTAGTATTCAGCTATCCACTTTCTATTTAACTGATGAACAGTATCAATGTTATTTAATTTCATGTGACAAAATGTTGTTTAAACTTTTCTTGTTGTTGCAAAGTGTATGACATACATACAAAATATCCATTTCATGTGATTTAAGATTTGCATTAAACACAATAGAACTCAATTGAGACAGTATTCATATGATAGGAAGTGAAGAAAACTTGGTATGATAATCATTTTAAGAAGATAAAGCTGATTATACAGGCCTCCCTTTTAAAGGAAACATTTACTGTATAGTACAACTTCAGTGATAGTTTGGATGTTGCTGAATATCAAATAATAGAGAATGGTAACCTTACTTCTTTATCACAGAGTATGCTTTCTACAGGAGTTAAGCATATATACCGTAGATGAAATGTACCTGACCTTTCCAATGCTAATACACACTCTGAACCAAACATTGAAGCATACATGTATATCACTGTTTGACAGATTGATGTGACATATTTTAACCAAGGGACACCTAATGAATTGAAAGTCAAAACTCTCAATGAAACTGTACTTTTAGCATTTGAAAAATGTTTATCTTTAAAATTTATTGCAGAAAGTCAGATATGTACGTCAAAGAGGCTTATCATATGCTGATGACCCAGCTAGAGAAAGAACACTCAGAAATTAGACTGTCTACATTCCAGATGATAGACGAGCTGTTTAATCGGTCACATGTATTCAGGGAACTGCTACTCTCAGACTTACAATCTTACATGGAACTAACAGTCGGTAAGTCAATCTGTCATGTAGTTGTTTTTGGTACACAATAAATTTTATGTACATAATTATGTTTTGAAAATTTATTTTTAATTTTGGAAAGTACTAGCTGTTTATGGATATTATTCTGAAATAATGAAGGGTCAGATATTTTTCTGAGATAAACAAAGGAGCAGACCTTGTAGGAATTGGCATTACAACAATTATTTTAACTTGAAGCATACAATTTTCATACATGAATTATTGGTTTTTGATGACTATATGAAGAAAATACATGTGATGTTTGTAGAGATCGATTTTGATCAACCACTACCTCCACCTAAAGCTTCTGCAAACACACTGAAAACCTCAGCTCTCAGGGCCATTCAGCAGTGGAATGATAAGTTTGGAGAGGCTTACAAGAAATTATCCCTCGGGATTAACTTTCTACAGAAGTGCAAAAAGGTATGTTATTATGTTCATAAGAGATATCCAAATTAAACCATGATATGAACATACAAAATCTGCAAATACCATTATTCAAGTTAATGCTTCTCTGATGCAAAATCAACATTTTCAGTTTTCAGAAATTTGTACATGGAAATATTAATTCCATTCACTACAGATGGCTATTTGATACTATAAATCACATTTTATTTGCAAGAACTTTATTTTCACATAATTATGCAAGATCGGATGCTCACAAAAATTTCATTCTCACATCAGTTTTTATTATTCAGATATTTATACATGTATATAACAATAACCAGCATTAACTAAAATTTTGTCTTGCTTATAAGTCCTTATTAACTTTCTTGCGAAAATGGGGTGTTGCGAAAATTTGGTAATCTACAGTACATTGTATTTGTGGAATACAGGTAGATTTCAGTTGGGTGGTATACAGTACATTGTATTTGTGGAATACAGGTAGATTTCAGTTGGGTGATATACAGTACATTGTATTTGTGGAATACAGGTAGATTTCAGTTGGGTGATATACAGTACATTGTATTTGTGGAATACAGGTAGATTTCAGTTGCATGGGTGGTATACAGTACATTGTATTTGTGGAATACAGGTAGATTTCAATGGTATCAGAGCTAGAGGTGAAGCAGAACAAAGACGAGAAAGGGAGCGAGCAGAGAGACAACAGAGAATTAACCAGGATAGAGTTAACAAAGTCCTCAGGGAAATAGAAGGTAAAGAGAATAAATCAGGAAAAAGTTAACAAATCCTCAGGGAAGTACAAGGTAAGGAGAATCAATAAGGATAGGGTTAACAAAGTCCTCACGGAAATCGAAGGTAAAGAGAATTAACCAAGAAAGAGTTAACAAAATCCTCACGGAAATCGAAGGTAAAGAGAATCAACCAGAATAGAGTTAACAAAGTCCTCAGGGAAATCAAAGGTATAGAGAATCAACCAGGATAGGGTTAACAAAGTAAAAAAGAATCAATCAGGACAGGGTTAACAAAGTCCTCAAGGAGAATCGAAGATAAAGAGAATCAACCAGGATAGGGTTAACAAAGTCTTCAGGGAAATCGAAAGTAAAAGGCAGCAAATCTTTGCATTGGTATTTACTGCATACTTTCTTGTACTATTTCCGAGGAACAAAGATATTCCAAGTTTAAATCTAGAGATCTTAAATTCTTCTCTTTTTAGACACCTTAGCATTTCCCTTGTATTTTTTTTCAATGTATTAGACACAATGATCATCATGTACAAGTAAAAGAAAATAAAGAATTTATCAAATGTTCTATCATACATTAAAGAAAAAAAATGCTAAAACTTCACCCGTTCTGTTTTTATTGAATGTTTCTTCACATATACTTTAATTTGTTCTTACAGAAACATTACCTGATATCAAGACTTGCCTCACAGAAGTAGAAAACTGTTTTGCCATTCTTCTCCCAACCCCTGAAAACTTTTTCTTGGGCATTGAATCAAGTGAAAATGATAAAGAAGCCCATGTTTGCTCTACCAATACAGAAAACCAGCAGAAATCTAAGACACATACACAAAAGTGTGGACATTGTGGAATTACAGATTTGATATCTACCTCCGGAGATTGTGAAGAATGTTCGAAAAACAGAAATGATTCAGACAATGGAACTGTGGTTGTAGGCAAAGATTCAAATCAGCCGAAGAATGATACAGAGGTAAAATGTAAGATGAAGGATAAATCAGGAAAAGAGTTAAAGACAAAAATTGATGAAAATCAAGATTCTGAAGAAAAAATTGAAAATGAACCCAAAAATATACAAGATAGTCTCAGGGATGAAACAAGTGTGGAAGGGAAAGAAAGTGATTCTCAAACAGTGGAAAAATCTGAAACGGAAGATCAGACTGGCAGAGATTCATCTGATGAGGATTCAGATGATTCTGACGATGATGACTTGGAGGAGGTAGGAGAGTTTGTACAGGAGCATGGCCTTAGGAATCACCAGTACAGTATAGCTATAGACATACAGAGTGGACCGGTAAAGCTGGAGGAGAACGAGGATAACCTACCTCTGTTAACCACGCTAAAGGATCACTACAGACTGATCAGTACTAAACACCAGCCTAGTGTCACACGGTGGCTACAGGTAAGTTATAACACACTAAAGGATCACTACAGACTGATCAGTACTAAACACCAGCCTAGTGTCACACGGTGGCTACAGATAAGTTATATCAAACTAAAGGACCACTACAGACTGATCAGTACTAAACACCAGCCTGGTGTCACACGGTGGCTACAGGTAAGTCATAACACACTAAAGGATCACTACAGACTGATCAGTACTAAACACCAGCCTAGTGTCACACGGTGGCTACAGGTAAGTCATAACACACTAAAGGATCACTACCAGCTGATCAGTACTAAACACCAGCCTAGTGTCACACTGTGGCTACAGGTAAGTTATATCACACTAAAGGACCACTACAGACTGATCAGTACTAAACACCAGCTTAGTGTCACACGGTGGCTACAGGTAAGTCATAACATGATAACACACTAAAGGATCACTACCAGCTGATCAGTACTAAACACCAGCCTAGTGTCACACGGTGGCTACAGGTAAGTTATATCACGCTAAAGGACCACTACAGACTGATCAGTACTAAACACCAGCCTAGTGTCACACGGTGGCTACAGGTAAGTTATATCAAACTAAAGGACCACTACAGACTGATCAGTACTAAACACCAGCCTAGTGTCACACAGTGGCTACAGGTAAGTTATATCACACTAAAGGACCACTACAGACTGATCAGTACTAAACACCAGCCTAGTGTCACACGGTGGCTACAGGTAAGTTATATCACATTAAAGGACCACTACAGACTGATCAGTACTAAACACCAGCCTAGTGTCACACGCTGGTTACAGGTAAGTTATAACACACTAAAGGATCACTACAGACTGATCAGTACTAAACACCAGCCTAGTGTCACACGGTGGCTACAGGTAAGTCATAACACACTAAAGGATCACTACAGACTGATCAGTACTAAACACCAGCCTAGTGTCACACGGTGGCTACAGGTAAGTCATAACACACTAAAGGATCACTACAGACTGATCAGTACTAAACACCAGCCTAGTGTCACACGGTGGCTACAGGTAAGTTATATCAAACTAAAGGACCACTACAGACTGATCAGTATTAAATGCCAGTCCAGTGTGACATGCTAGCTACAGGTAAGACTAAGTTATAAATAGTTTAGATACAGTAAGCACTATTAATCAGTTTCACTATGCTGTGTTTTTAATGTACTTTTGTTGGAAGGTGACAAATTTTTGTTTGTCAGATTATGATCAGTTACAATCTATATTAATCAGATTCATTTGTTGAAATTGCAATCTAATTAAAATTGGATGTTCCGAATCCGCTACCGCTTCTCAAACTAATTAAAATTGGATGTTCCGAATCCGCTACCGCTTCTCAAACATCGATGTTTGAGAAGCAGTAGTGGATTCGGAACATCTTATTTTAATTAGATTGTTGAAATTGCTTTGTAGAATAAGTAGGGTTGAGACATAACAGTCTAAACATGGTGGGACCATTTAAAAAACAACATCAACTTTGGGATTATTCAATATACATGTATCAAGCTTGACATTTAAATATATAATAAGGATGGCTGAATCATTTAGAGATATCTCTGGTATTCAGTGTACTTAATGTTTGAAATAAAGTTCAGCTGAATTTTCTTGTGATGTTTGTATAGGTACTTTCAAAACATGGAGGTAAAGAGGACGACATAAAAAGAGTCATTGACCTTAAATCTCAGCTCCAGCAAACAAAGAATCAGTTTTATGATCTGAAAGTGGTACCCCTAGAGGAGCAAACAAAAAATGGAGATGGTAAGATATATACACTTAATATCTGTTTATGCCTATTCATAAACAGACAGAAAGCTGATGATGATTTGATAATTATAATATTTTTTTAGATGATAGTGATGATGAATTTGAAGATGTACCAGAAAAAGAAGGATTTGAGGAAGATATTCCAGAACATCTCAAGAGAGATTTGGGTAAGATTTCAAGTACATTTGTACAGTTTGTTATGTAACAAGAGTACAATTTATAGCAAAAATTTAATTAAACTAAATATACCAGCACGTGTGTTTGAACTATGTCTTTAATTTGTGTTTAACACTTATGAAGGATCTGGATCAGCCTCCACAAGCAAGAAATCCTCTTCTTCTTCCTCCAAAAAGCCAACAGCTACAGTCACCAGTGCATCAGTCAAACCCAGCACCTCAGGTATTGGGGCCAAGCGGACATTTGTGAAGGCTTCTTGGAGCATTCAGAATGAGTTACTGGAACATGATGAGGAAGATCCGACAGCCATGATCGCCAACCTCAAGAGAATCAAAGCCGAGGCGGAGAGTAAAAGGTGCTCTATTGGTATCCAGTATGAGAATCTCTAAATGTTGGTTGTTCATAACCACTATATATGTACATTTGTGAATTTGTTCATTTGTTATACTAGTACAGTCTAAAGAAAGTTTGGGTATATTGTTTGTTCAGTAATGTAATGAATAACATGGTTGATATTTAAGCACAAATTTGTATCACATTCATATTCTTTCATGAAGATTTGTTCATTTGTTATTCTCGTACAGTCTAAAGAAAGTTTGGGTATATTGTTTGTTCAGTAATGTAATGAATAACATGGTTGATATTTAAGCACAAATTTGTATCACATTCATATTCTTTCATGAAGATCTGTTTTTTTCTCTTCTTATTTTTTTTTGTTTTTGTTTTTGTTGCTGGAGGTGGGGGATTACAGCCATAATTTATTTGAAAAAATTATAATCTGTTTTTGTTTAGAAAATGTTTATTTTTTGTTTTTTTTCCCTTTCATTGTCACTTAACAGCAGTACCAAACCAGCTACAGATGAAACATCTAAAGGCATGTACATCACATCCAGTCGTAAAGACAAGTTGCTGAGCAGTGCTCCTGTGGTTCCGTTTGGAGTGGATCTGGAACACTGGGAAAATCCAGATAAGATCCAGGCTCCAGAGATTGTCAAGCAAGTTACTTTTGTCAGCAGTGTTTCACACTGGATGCTTGATCAAAATACCAAGTCAACACCATAGCTTAATTTTATCAAAAATTTAATGGGTCCAGGAATTTTTTAAACTTTTGTGATATTTCACTATATCTTTATAGGTATGATTCACTTCACCGATTCTGGACTGCTTCTGATGTTGAACACTGCAAAACTGATACTGTGAGTAATATGTCACACTGATATTAGAACATAGAAAGCACTTATAGATTAAAATTCTGTAATTTTACTGTTAAATTCAATACTACTACTATTAAAATGCTTTTATTGAAAAAAATAGTATGGTAAGTAAATATAAGTGATGAAAGTTTTATTCTTACTTTATTTTGGAATTTCAGAGCAGTATTGGTGAACTAACTAAGAGGGCTATTCCATTTGTGGGGAAATTTGAACCTGTCAAATGGAAGTGTAGAGCTCCACTGCCCAATGGAAGTTTGTGTGAACGAATGGATAGAATCAAAGTAGCTTTCATTGTTTTTTTTTAACTTCATATGAACACATTGTACATTTTAGCAAAGTCCTGCTACTGTGTTCATTGTTTTTTTTAACTTCATATGAACACATTGTACATTTTAGCAAAGTCCTGCTGCTGTGTTCTATGTTTTCCCATAAATTAACAAGCTAATGAAAATTAAATGTTAGATCCACTCACATACTCGCTACACTAATTTGGTATAGCGAGTATAAATGTAGATCTTACATTTAATTTTAATTAGATTGCTTAAGAAATAGTGAACAATATGCTCTTATTATGACTTTGTTATACTTTTATTAATAAACCATACAATTAATTATGCATGTACATGTATAAAGTGCACAATATCAGTGGTTGTCAGATTCTTGTGGGAAAAACTGAAGAACAAAACTATATGTCTTTGATGAAGCCAAATACATTAAATAGGAAATTGTACATTTTTTGTATTGATACTGTGAAAACGAATGCTATATGTATATTTTAAAAATGAAAGAAAAAAATTCTACAAATTTAATGTGTATCTGGTATGTTGTTGAAGCTGTGGATATACACATTGTTCATTGTGTAGTGATAGTTGTATTTACTAAGATTAACTTCCATTCCTATGAAGTAATTCTTGCTGATTTTTTGTTATGAAATACATGTAAGTCTTTTGTAACCTACAGTGTCCTTTCCATGGTAAAATTATTGCCAGAGATGAGTATGGAGTGGCAGCTAATGCAGAGGACCAAGACAAACCATCTACTAGTACTCAGGGATTATTAGAGGGTAAGTGTGTCAAAACCTACACATTTCAGTTATGTACATGTGTCTGCATTGTGTTTTTAAGACCATAACTTTTTATCCTATATACAGTCAAACTTTTATATCTCGAACTTGATGGGATCAATGAAAACTTTGAGATATCCAAGTATTTGAGAAACCAAAGTAAAAAAACCTTAAAGAATAAGTCCTTGGGACTTCCAAATCACTTCAACATATATATGGTATACAAGATATCAGTGTTCACCTTTACTTATGTATTTCCAGAGAAAGAGTCTTATGTGTTGCTATTATAAAGGGCTATTTTCAAATTACTTGCTCTATGGAATATTGAAAGTTCTTTTTTTAATCTTGAAATCACAATGATATCTATTCTCCATACCCATGAATTATTAAAGTATACTATGCACCTCTAAAAAGTCAAAATTTGTTTATAAATTCCTTTGATTTAACTGTAGAAGGTCTCAGTGATTGGCAGGACCCAGAACTACAGGCTGACATTGAAGCTGCTCTAGGGGTAGACCTATATTCTAAAAAAGGTAAAGGAAAAGGGAAGGGAAAGAAAAAGAAAGAACCAAAATATCCCAACCTAACAGACATCAACATTGTAGAGAATACATCCAGGACACGACTAGAGAAAAGAGTCCTCAATAAGTAAGTATAATTTACAGATTCTTATGGTTTTATGTTTAATACTTCATATATTCAACTAAAATTAACTAATTCTTATGTTGAAAAAAAGAACTACTGTAAAATCACTTTTTTGTATTGGAGGGGGGGGGGGGTAAAAATTTTTGTGGTTTGAGGAAAACTTTGATTTCATTTGATTTCATGGTTAAAGGAGAAGCGTCATACTGAAGTAAGAAATTTTGTATCTATGCTGAGATTGTTAGTTCCTAACATAGAAATCCAAGAACATTGAACCTTCAGGAAATATGATTATTTCAGCGTGTTACTGATAAATATCAGTATTTTATTTATTTCTGTAAATGATATTGCAGGTCTGCTTTGAAAAGAGTGAATAATGTGATGGATAACCTTGCTTACAAAAGAATACGGGACAGATTTGGAAACCAGTTCAACTATTCTTTAAATTAACTCTTCAGAAATGGAGACCAGAATGTCTTATGCACTGTATAATGCAGAAGAATGTCAGACACCTCGGCCCAACGACACCTCGGCCCATTGACATCTCGGCCCAATGACACCTCGGCCTTGACTGGTCGGCTCACAATTTAAGACACCTCGGCCCATACATAAGACACCTCGGCCCAAGCAAACTTTCATTTATAGAAAGTATATTATATATTTCCAAACTGCAATGTCAATAAAATTTTGACCGGAAAAAAGTAAACAATCAAGATTATTTTTAATACTAAAAAGACCTTCCACGGGCTACATGATTGACGATCATCAAGGAATGAAAAGACAATTATAATTTTAAAAGTGCTAACAGATAAACAAACATGATGCCGCGGCGCATCCTTTGGGAGTCTCCAGTGCTTGTCATATTGGTGTCATTAAGGGGTCATTAAGGGAATAATTACAAGCAGGCTTAATCTGTTAATTGTGAGACAGTCATTCAGAACATTTACATCCATTTATTTCTTAAGAATTTCATTTACATTAAAAACTAGTTTGAGCACTGATTTTTTTTTTAAATTTATATTAAGCTATCTGTTTCAAACTATGATTTTCATTCAATGAACATGATGAAACATACGATGAAGTTCAGATCAATAATGCAATTATTTTACGTACTTAAACTATTATTTTATACGATTATTTATACTGACATAAGTATAAACAATAAAATGTCCTTCCTTTTTTTTTTTGTTAATGCAAGATTAACGACCGCAACCATATAGCAGAAATTCTCGCATTTACAAAAAAGTTACGGTTTAAATAAAGTCCATATATATCTTTTCACGAATTATCAACCCATCTCAGATGTTTCAGATCGTCAGAGAAGTAATGCAAAATGAAACGATAAAATTCCGGCAATTCTTATAGAAAGTCAAGATCATAAGAATGTTGATATATATCATAGTTTCACTTAAGTGTATATATTGGGGATTTTCCACAAGAGATAGATCTATGTTAGTTAACGTGCTGATCTGATTTGCTTAGGGAAGTGAACCAATTTTCTATTATAGACCCCCCCCCCCCCCCCCTTGACTTTTATTTTAAAAAATCATTTAACCGTCAAAAAGAATAATTACATCGATAATAATAACAATTCAGACAATGGACAAATTTTTTCCATCATAAAATTTCGCTTGGGCCGAGGTGTCTTTTATATGGGCCGACGTGTCAATAATCTTGGGCCGACCTGTCAGGGCCGAGGTGTCAGACGTCACGGGCCGAGGTGTCGTTGGGCCGAGATGTCTGTCTACCATGCAGAACATGGTAACTGTGATCTAGATCTATCTGTATTTTTGTGAGAAAAAAAACAAGTGTTGATGTATTTTTTACAATATCCATGCAATAACATAGATATCAAATGACTTTAATGAGGATGATCAATCAGTTGATATGTGTGTACAGTAAAACACGTTTTAGCAAAAAATCAGGGACAAACAATTTTGTTGTTTTATAAACTTAACTTGTTATATCTGTTAATTATCTCCTCGCAGCACATTTGGAAGGGATATAGTTACGACTTATGTGTGTGTGTTAGTTTATGTGTGTGTTAGTTTGTCCTGTGCGAAACAGAAGTGATGTAATTTGTATCGGGATCGATGTCAAAAGCTGCCTTGATTTATAGATAATGCTGCCTTGCGAGGGAATGCTCCGCTTTGTGGGGCCCTTCTTTCATGATACGTTTTAAAATCTCTAGGAATGAAAATCACTTTGCTCTAAGCTGTAAGCTTGAATTCATTATAAGCGTGTTTTACTGTAGAAGTTCGTCATGTTTTCTTATTTAACCAAGATACATGTAAGTGGTAGGCACTTACTATATATACAATTTAAATATGTGTATATTTATAAAAGTGATAAACATTTGGTATGAATTTTCAAATATTTACATGCACATGTATTTTTTTTTTACATGGAAATTAAATATATATAAGTGATTTAGACTAAATTACTTTAAAAAAATATTAAGTTATATCATTTATGTAATTGTGCAGTTTATTGTATTGATTGGTAAAACAAAGTAATAAATATGCAGTGCTAGAATTCTGTTATTCTGTTTTCTTTTCTCTCCAAGAATTTCAAATAAATGTCTTGACATTTGAATAGAACGAAAATGATATTATTACACACATTTAAATAATATCCAAAGTATCCTTGGACAAGTGTTGACTGGCAAATGTTCATATTTTTATGATTAGGCTTTCTAAAGTTTCTTAAATTATCAAAAAAGGGGAGAGAACTCTAACTGGGATTTATACCTATTACATAACTGTATTCCTTTATGAAGTTGCTACGTTTAATAATTTCCCAGCAAGCTGTGCTGAAATTGTTTTCATTTTAATTATAAATAAATATCTTGGAAAATCATAAGCGTTAAACAGGCTGGAGAAAATACTCGAAATCGAGTATTATCATTGAAATCACGTACATGAAGATCTATCTGATGTAGGTATTGTTGAATCTGCCAAATCGGGTATAGGCAGTGTAATCACCTTTTATAATTTAAACCTTGTAATGACGCACTTTGCCGATGAGTATAATGCAAAGGTATTACCATAAAATGAAATACTCATGATGGAGGATAGTACATTTCACTTTACGCACCAAAGCAGGCATTTCTTGTACAATATTAAAATTATTTAATTATCTTCAAGTTAATACCCTGTGCTACAGAACCATAGGCGTCGGAAGCAAATTGAAAGTGGGGTGGCTAATTGAAAGCGGGGGGGGGGGGGGGCTAAACCAACTAAAAAAGGTAAGCCCCAATTTTCAATGCCTATATTATGTCTATCTTTGCAAAAAAAGTGGGCCCCCCCCAGCCCCCCAGGTTCCGACGCCTATGAGAACTACTAAATACCCAAAGTTTGGGATTTTGATTTTCATTTTAACATTAATATTATTATTTTTTTTAATTTTATTTTCCTCATCAAAATTTTTTCAGGATCGAGATTTGTCAATTATTTTTCCAGCTGCACCCCAGCCCCACGCGCGCGTGTTCAAGAACGATACTACGTGTCTGATCATATACTACATTAAGGTAACGAACAGTTATCGACCTCGTAATTCTTTAAAACAATACAGATTTGTGAACAGGGCATGAAATACAGGTGCCTAGGAAATCTAGAGTCCTCTGTCGACCAGTCACTCCCGCCGAGTTCATAAAAATGACTTGTTTTACGTCAAACGATATACATCGTCGGATACCCACGGGTTATCTTGTCTTTTACTCAACACCCGGTGATGACTAAGACATCACTCGTGGGTATCCGACGATGAACGATAAGTAGCAGGTAGTTGATCCCCCTGTGCAGTAAGTTCTTGTTAGTCCAATTTTCTCAATCATTATACTTTTTCTCATAATATTTTTAGATTGATACTCTGTTTTTAGTATGATTCATTTTCCAATATTGAAAGAGATTAAAATTTATATAATTTTTATTCATCACAAGGACTGTACTCCTTTAGTTTCTTTTGTAATAATGCTTTCATCTTTCTTTAAATTTTCCACGGCAGACAAACCTAATTTTCCTAATTAAAGTATTAGAAGACTAGCTGTTTTATCTTAATATTGCTGCTGGAATTTTTAAACACCTTCAAAAAATCTTATCAAGATTTTTGATCTCTACACCCTGATGGATTAAACTGACTATAATCAGAAACAATAGATCATCACTACATTCCTCATCCAGAAAAACTTCTACAAAATGCAAGCATTTAGTTTTTTTTATTATCATTCCGTTAAAAATTATGACAATTTAAAACCAGAAAAAGAGGACCAATAAGCAATGGCGTATTCTCCATCTCTTCCTCTCGTTCTTATCCAGACCTTGTCACTCTTTTTCATTTTTATAATTGTTGTGGCGGATCCTGTGGCGTAAAATTGTCTCCCACTGCTTCCATCGACATAGTTGTATCCAACGATATTACTAGTATCATTGAGAACAAGATATGTGACAAATGCCTTTCCAGGTTTTGTCAGAATGGTCCATGCAAATGAATAGATTCCATCCTGAGGCGCAGTGAATTTGCCTGCCTTACCATTATAGGCAGTTCCAGAATTTTCTGTAACTTTCCCAAATACAACTACGGCATTATTTCCGATCTTCTGCAGATCACTTGCGATTTGGGCATGAAATGAGATTATTGCTATTGGAAAAAAAATGCTTTTGTGAATGTTTGTGTCAGTTTATTTACATGTTAACTAATTTTTTTCCAGACAATCTTAAATTAAAAGCTATCTTTTTCAAAGATCTGAATTAAGCTCAGAACTTTTTCAAAATATTAGATTAAAAACAAAGAGAGAGATAAACATCTAGAAAATTTGCACTAGGTCTTGATTCTCAGTTTATTTAGTTTTTAATTAGATTATGAATATAATCACTCTTAATTCGTATATCAGGAACGTAGTATCATTTTTGAAATTGTGGGAGCCAGGGAAATTTTTTTATCTTAACCTGAAAAAATTGACTACAAAAAAGAAAGAAATTTCGTGTTAAAGGGGGGGGGGGGGTTCTAACTTTTTTCATAACCAAATTATGACCACATTACCCTGATAGACTTTACTTCAACAAAAAGAGGGGGAACCAGCCTTCAATGAACATTTTCAACAGTAAAAAGTAATGCTTGGAAAAAAAAGTGACCCCCCCCCCTCAGATGCTACGTACGTGTCTGCACATCATTTCGTTTATTGACAAGCATGTTACCTCTTTCATGTCCTTTGCAGTTATCTCCCTTGAAGCCCATTCCTCGACATACTTCATTATACGCATTGAATTTCTTAAGGAAATCTTTTGTGCCTGCTTCTGCATTCGCTCCAAATAGCAAGAAACTTGCAAGAATCAGCTTCAATAACTGGAATCTGTTAAAATATAGAAATATGTACTCAAATTCGTCAGTGATCTATTAAAATTATTCAATATTAAAATGGTTAATTTTACAAATCAAGTTATGAACTTCAAATACTAATAAAAAAAAAAAGTGAATGTCAAATACTGATTGGAAATATTTTAAATG